AAATTGTATTTTTCATTAAAAATCTGAACAAATGTATATTTAGGATGCACTTTGTGTTCATAAATATCTTTTACCGCAACTACACGTTTAGAAATATATTTTGTGTAGACAAAAATAAACAAGTTGTTCATAAAGGTAAATACTGTCTTTTAAATTTAAAGTTCCTTATTGAGATTGATGCCACGTTTTCAATCATTAACTGTTCTTTTTAAAGGTAAAGAAAGACTTTTATTGATAATCATAATTGTTATTTCACTGTCTATGTAATGCTTTTAACGTGTCTCTATTCTTTACCGATATAATTGGCAATTACTCGTTTTAGGCAGCGTTACGCTTATATAAAGTGAGCGGAGGTGGTCCAGAGAATTTTACCATACTCACATAATACACATAATCATTTCCAACGAGGGATGGTACTGGAAAAAAACGAGGAAACGCACTAGGGTGAGGGATAAAGAGCAGAGGAACGCGTTGGATACGATGAGTCATGTGTATTGTGCGTTTCTCTGGCTTCAACACACCCTTGCAGTAATTCGCCCGAGACCGTTTGACGGCAGTGTGTGGAGATGATTACTCTTTTCCCTCTCCTCCCTCTACTTCTTCATTTCACCGAGAGACTTCACCATTTTTGAATTCACGAAACTCTGGTGAAAGGGTCTTAAGAATTCATTAGTTTTTCAATTCGTTAGACTACAGTTGTCTTTCGACATATCCCAAGAGTTATAAATACATTAATTTATATTTAATACAAAATTATCGTTTTGTAGATTAAACTGTTCAAAACACAATGCTATTAAACTAGCAACGGATCAATAATTTATGAAAGAGTACATTTGATATGATTAGAAATAAAACAATAACTATGTAACCGTATACCAGAGTATAACTATTCAGTTTCACCTTAAAAATAATCTTGATATACTATTATATTTTCCGATAATATTTCATACAGTTTTACTTAAGATTATTAAAGGCCTTGTAAAGAATACACTTAAATATCAACATAAATAATGCCAATTTTATTCACAAGTATTTTTATTTTAATTTAACTTTTAAAATACGATTTACATGGTAATACTCGTAGATATTAGTTCAGTTTTATGAAAAATTCATGAACTTACAGAGAAGTGAATTATATCATTGAAAGCATAAAAAAAAAAAAGTTAGTATTGGATAATAACTTGTGACCTTCACCGAAATGACTTAACACCTTGGGCTCCGTACTAACCTATTTAAATATAGACATGATACGTTATATAGTTGTAGATAATATTTTTAAAATTCTCAGTTTCGCATGGTACACTCAAAACTGCATCATTACGTTACATGTAATTTAATGAAGTTGAATGATAATTTAGATTACACTTAGGGAGACTTTGAGGACATCTAAACAAATATATATATATATGTAGGCACAGATTGGAGAAGGATTAGAAGGGACTTTGTCCCTGCAAAATTTCAGAAAAACTACATATATCATATATCATATACTCTCAAAAATTTTAGAGAAAAAAATTACATATAATAAGTCCCTCCAAAAATTTTGTTTTTTGCAAAAACTTTGCTACATTTTTTAAATCTTATAATACTGCCTGTTTAAATATAAATAAGTTATTATATATCAATTTTAGTATTTATTGGTAAAGTGTTATGGGCGCAACTAGGAGAGCTATAAGAGCTCTCCTAGTTCTTCAAATATTAATTAAACTGTATATTGTTATAAATATTTTTAAGGGGGGGGGGAATTTATTTATCACATAAGAGAACTTTTTCCAAGATACGCCAATGTTAAGAAAAAAAAAAGTCAATTTTTATTTTAATTTGAATACTTCTTGACTATATTTTAGTCTACGTAAACAAGGAGATTTAGGCAATGTTGAATTCAGGTAGACTTCAGGGGAGCTTTAGCCCCTTCTGTCTATCCCAGAGTGACAATAATAATATAGCTATTTTCGAAAATGAAAACGATTTTTTTTACTCATCAAATATTTTTTCTAATAATAGTATGTAAATACAGGAGAAAAAAATTGTTTTGCTTCATATGCTTAGGATCAATATTGAAAAAATTTTGAATTCAATACTGGATTTTGAGAATTTCAAACCCTCTTTAAATAAATAGTTCCTGAATTTTATTAGTAGATGACCTTTTAAATGTTATCCCTTAAACCCTCGGAAAATATTTTTGGTTCCGACACTATTGCCAACAAGCAGTTCATATTTTAGTAAGCCTTGAACTGTTATTAACTACACTGAATAGTTTAATTCGAAAAAAATTCTCCCCTATAGGAAATGTTGAAGTTCCGGACTGATTAGTAAGTGAAGCACCACCTGTCAATTGATTAATAGTGTTATACGTTGTGCACGGAAACACAGCAAAACGTATTGTCATCATTAAGTTTTTCTGTGTATGTTACTCCCAAACCTCACCTGTAGGCTATTAAACAACAGATATAGCTTCTATTTTTATTTCATCTACGATAAATGTTATAGAAGCGAAATGACTCTGATGTTTTTCACGCTGCGCTATAAAAAACATTTTATTTGGGTAATAATTTCCTATGAACTATTGACTATTATTATGTTTGTGTGCAAGTTACCAAGTTATTTAAAACGCTCACTAACAATAATCTTTTTAAAATACAAGAAACAAAACTTCTATTAATCCGTCTGCGATGGAACACTTACAAAGTAAACATAACCGTCACTTCGCTGTAAAAAAATTATTGTCTCGGTGATTCGTTCAACGCAATCTCGTTTTTTTCCCATTAAAGTGAGTTTTTTTTATCCTAAATACTTTCTAACCGATACAACAAATATTTACATTGTGCCTATTTAAAACTTAATCAGTCTTGGTTAAAGAAAACTGGCCATATGCAGTTTTATTCCACTTAATAAATACTTTATTAATCTTTTTTTTTTTATTTGAACTGGATTCATTATTAGTTTTATACTTGAAATAGTAAAAATATGTTTATTAAAATAATTTCAATAAATTATAATCATTATAATGTATAAATCTATATATAGAATACTTTTGGTGGGTTCTTAAAGCAGTAAAAATAACATTTAGCAGAAAGAAATTCTTCTATGGCAAGGGGCAAAAATTACATAAGGTAGTAAAAAGAATACGAATAAAGCCAAATTCTTCACACTGTAATATACACCCAAAGAAAAACCTCAATCAATTTTGATAGAGAAATTTTATCAAGGGTTTATGATAATTTTTTATTAACACGAACAAAATAACTATTCTTATAAATAATTATTGTTCAAGACAAGAAAAAAAAATATCATATTGATAAATATATCATAGGTTCAATAGTAATGATATATTTATCAAATTGAACAATGAATTTATTATATAGATCGAGGTTTTTCTCTGGGTGTAGGTCATGAAAAAAACATGAGATGTGTCAGTGGCGTATCCGAAAGGCTAAAGGAGTTAAGTCCCAATTGAGCGTACAAAATCAATAATTTAGTTAGAAAATTATTAATCTTAAAAAAGATAAAAAATGTTTTTTGTTATTACCTAATGAAAATCACGGGTAAACCACTGGATGCATTGTAAAAATATGTCATAAATTCTTATAAATATTTTGTTAAAAAAAACTTATATTCAAATGTGAATAGAACTATTACAATGGTAATTATTTCCCTTGAATTTAAGACGTTTCACGCGATTGGTCATTAATTAAAAATCAACGATAAAATAAATGTCCTCTAATTAAAAATATGCCTATATTTTGAATGCAATTTCTTTCATTTAAGCATTTTTGCTAGAAAGAAGTGCATTTTTTACAAGACAAAAATCTTGAACTATACATCTATTATAATGGAATCTCTGCGCGTATTCAAGTTAACATTTCCATCATAACCTACAGTCATAAAAAAACTCACTCTTAACAACTCCTTAGACTGTTAATTTTAACGATGAAATGGATAATTATACATTTCCCTTGAGCTTGAAAGCATGTTTGATTCAAGGTAACATGTATCAATATTATTTTTTATGGATTTCGAAAAATGTTTTTTTTTTACATTAAGGAATTATGTTTTAAGTCAGTCAAAGTATTAGTATACAAGAGTAATACTCAGCATCAAAATATTTCGAGGATTAAGTCGCTCATAAAAGTGTAATAAGGAAATGTTTATTCAATTTAGCCATACAAGTGCAACAAAACTACTTGGTGGTATTTTCACCACTTTTAAGCAGATACAATATTTTTGAATAGCTCTTTAAAAATTCGATTTTATAAACTTAACGATAATTGTAGTATCAGTGTCGGTCAGACATTTTTTAATATAGGTTTGGTAAGCTAACCCCCTTTAACAAACTGGAAATTATATGCTGGAGCCCAAAAATGAGCCAGACCGATACAGCATAATACTATTTTGCTGTGTAATTTTAATTGTACATATTATATACAATTATAGCTATGCTGGTAGATATTTTACATGAATTTTACTCCAACTTATTTTAATAGAAGAAAAATGTATTAATAACATAATGTTCACATTTCATACTGATTAAAAACTAGTAGTATAAAATAGAAACAGTATGAAACACAAACAAACCATCAATGTCATTCCGAATTACTGACCTTGAACTAGTTCATTCAGACACCATACAAAATAAAGTTTTTCGTCTGAAGTACCAGTTTAGTGCTCACAACGCCAAGAATACGTTCGGATAGTAAAAAAAAAAAATTTTTTATACGACTATTTTTNCCATACAAAATAAAGTTTTTCGTCTGAAGTACCAGTTTAGTGCTCACAACGCCAAGAATACGTTCGGATAGTAAAAAAAAAAATTTTTTATACGACTATTTTTCATTGTTAACAAAATCTTGTTTTGTTGTAAAAACAAAGTCTTGTTGTCCGGTTTATTATTTGTAAAAGTAAGATTTGATATTTCAGATATTCAAAACCGAATTTTTTTTCATGCGTTTCTTATGGTGCGATTTAACAGCGAAACGCATTTAATTATTGAAGAAGTTTACCTGAACATAATGCGAAGTTGACGGATTTCCTGACGATAGGAATTAGCGGGTCGTTGACGAAACGAAAACAATAACAAACAAATGATCTTCGGCGTAACAGCAACTACACAAAGGTCAACGACAACAACAAACGCACGTGAGAACTTTGTTGTAGCGCTTGCGCACAAACACGACGACGGACACCACAAACCGCGACGCACAATTTTACGACTGACGCCTTGCACGTGCACTGACAGAGACACACGTGTGTACTGCTGAGCCGATCGCGATAACCGCAGTGCAATGGCGCAACGCGTGCGAATTCCGTTTTCGGCGGAGTCACCCAACGCACACCAATTGCACCATGTTCGAATCCAAAATAAATATTCTTATGTATACACCACACATACATATATAGCCATTGGCGTAATAATGTATTTAGTGTGCATTATCATGTGCACTAACTCATATCACCCTATTTCAATTGGGCATTTTTATGACCACCACAGTAGTTAAATGGTTCACGATCCGTTGTGTTGGCCAATGTACCGACACAGACGTTAATCGATGGCACGTACCCTTGAAATTATGAAAGTTCTGTGGTGCAATTAGAAATTTGTACTGGGGGTGCATATAAAAATATGTTTACTACACATCCGAACAAAAAAAAAATTGTACCTTCATTATTTAATTATTGTTGTCATAGAGGCAATATGACATTCATAACTCTTGTAAACAGATTAGTGAAAAAGTTCTGGTGTTTTATGAAACAAAAGAAAGGAAGCCTTATGCCTCAATGTAAAGCTGATAATTTTGTAATGTATTTTTTATTATTATTATCATTTTTTTTTGTTCGTCGCCACAAATACATTTTTTCTACTTGACCGATTTTATGAATAATGCGTTCACAAATCATATCCAATTGAAGATTTTATCTTCAAATTTTGAAAAAGCATTTCCTTTATATTTAAAATATGAAATCTCTTAAATATTTTATTATTGAATTTAAAAATCTGGGTACTTTTATCTTTTTTTACTAAACATTTGTAGATTTTTTTTATAAAGTATTGTAAGAACACTTATAACTATGTTCTTACCACTTTTATTACACACGTTTTATTTCCATTTACTTAATAATTAAGTAAAACGAATTATTCGTAATACATATTAATTAGCATAGAGGGAGATGCTGATGTGACAATTCTACTCATCTGTAGCCCGGAGCTACTGACGTTAAACAAACAAAGGGCAGTTGTATTTGAGTGGCTGTTATAGACATAGTTTTCTATACTATTATTTTCGTCTTATTTATATTATTTATAACTTAACTTGTTTTATTCAACGACCCGTCTATCGCCAATTGTCATCATAGCCAACCAACTCCGTCTTACTTGGATATACCTACTAACCAACAGTACTAGGATTCAAGTCAGACGTATTGTACATTACATAAAACTTATATATATACTGAACATCTAGAATATAACTTTACTTTGTCGTTGACATAAAACAATAGTCTAATTTTATTTAATAATCTATCCCCTGTAACTAAGGTACACGATTGCCTGTGTCTCCTTCAGGTAATTAAAATTCATTTAAGGAGATAGAGACGACATTTGGGCAGACGTCGGGTAGCTTCCGATTCTTGGTTTTGACCAAGATCGTTAAGTATTAAACTAGTCCCTAACAGTATAAACCGAAAGGAAATGTTTAAAGAATATATTAAATATGTAATTTTTTTTAAACATGCTTTGCGAACACAATCTTTTACTAATTTAAAAAAGGGGTTAAACCACCCACAGGTGTAATATCAATAAAAGCTTTGGAGTGCCATACTATGTGTGATTTTTCTCTTCCTATTTTTTTTATATATTATTATAAATGACATTTTTTTGAAATGTTAAAAGAGCTATTTTTTATATCGGATCTAAACCCCTCCAATTTAAGCCATGTTGATACTTATATGGATCCTTCATGTTTTTACTTTTACATATTTATGGCTTCTATATTTTTGCATTTTTATGGATTCTCTAATTTTGTATTTATAAGGCTTCTCTGATTTTGCATATTTATGGCTTCTATATTTTTGCATTTTTATGGCTTCTCTAATTTTTGCATTTTTATGGCTTCTATATTTTTGCATTTTTATGACTTCTCTAATTTTTGTATTTATAAGCCTTCATTATTTTTGTATTTTTATGGCTTCTCTATATTTTGTATTTATAAGGCTTCTTTATTTTTTACATTTTTATTGATTCCTTATTTTTTACGTTATTACTAATAATAATTGTAATTATTCAATATAAGTGTTACTTATAGGTAGAGGTTGGATATTTTATGCATTAATATTATAAATAAATATATTATAATAAACAATATTAAATTATTTTAAATACATCATAATCTATTTTAAATTTACAAATACACAATTAAATACAAATAGGTTTGAAAAATGTGATTTAACTGGGATATGATGTTAGAGCATTATGGGGGTTTATTTTTCCTTAAACGAAAAATACTTCTACGCAACTATTGTTCCAAGAACAATTTTGCACCATCTTGGGTCCTTTTAAAATAGCTTAAACAAATTCTATAAATATAAACATATCTAACTGACAACTCATATAACTTATGATCTATATTACATTTTATACTTTTTTTTAAATCAATTTTTACAATATAGAACTATTTTTAAAATATGTTTTATGTTATTTTTCGGAATTACGTAAAATATTTTAAAAATTAATTTTTTCACTAAAAAAAAAAAATTGGTTAGGATTTGAAGATAGCCATTTTATAGATAAATTTTAAAGACAAATTTTGATACCAAAAACTCTTATTTTAATTCAGTAGTTACGTTTATACAGCATTTTGAAATTCGTTAAATTTTGATTTTTTATACAATTTTCCTATGGTATCAATTGGTAGTCCATATTATGTAATAAATACGGAAGTAAACACTTATTACGTTATTTACTGTACATTTTTACTACAAGTAAAAATGAAAATATTTATTATTTTTCAAAAATGTATTAACTAAAATATATGATAATTATTATTTTTTCTTGCAGACCGTACAAAACTATCGGCGGAAGTAGTCTTAATTATAATCGTAATACGCTGAATAAACAGTTTTAATTAATCATATTTAGATCGTTAGTATTACTAAAACAACAGAAGTAATCAGCTGACTATAATTTTACACAAGACTAATGTTTTAGAGAATTTAATTTTACATATTTTTTATACGAATTAATTTTGTTGTAAAGTGATTATTTCGAAAGTTAAGAATGATTTATGTTCATTGCAAATTGTTTTTAATTTTTTTGAGCAAGTAAAAATAATTTTAGAAAATTTTCGCAAATAACTTTTTTGGAGAAAATATTAAAATTTATAATTTATATTTATTCATTTTTACGCTAAGTGTGTTAGTTTTAGAAATAATAAACAAAAACTAAAAAATTATCCTTTTGAGTGAATTTTCAACCACGACTAGGTACCTGACAGGGGCAAGTTATCAAAACCCAATTTTACCCAAATGACGTACATATAATAACGAAAAAAATTGGCGGGTACGGAGATCGATTAATGAAAGTTTATAAAATAAGAGCCACTCTAGTGTCCATGAATCATATATTAAAAAAATTGTCAATGGGTATACGCTGTATAAATACTAAAAGACCACTGAATTTAGGGGTGTGGTTTTATTTTGCTTATAATTTATAGACATATAAATATAGGATGTTCATTAAGGAAACGGATTTCTATTGTTTTCATTATTAATAACAATTGACCTGTTTTCTTACTTACTGAACCCCGTATAACGTAGCCAGTACTCCTTACTTGAGGGGTTGTTAATCAAATAATTATTTGACTATAATATGGCTTATAAGATTATTATCTTAACCCATTTTAGTCTTTTATTATTTTTTGTTCACTACTTTATTTTGAAGATAAATAATGACTTCATGCCCCTCGACTACATCACTGACTAGCCTCGCACTGCCTAATTAAATTTTTTGTTTATCTAATTACTTCATGTTAATTTCCTAATGAACTTTTTAATTGTTATTAGTCTATAAGATAAGTAAATCAATACCAATTAATGCAATCTTAATAATAAAAATAAAAATTTTCCAAAATTAACTCAATCCATAATACTGAATTGATAATTTTTTTAGCATTTTTATAATTATACACCATTGATTGCAGATGACTGATTTTAATAAAACTTAAATAAAATATTATTGCGCAATTTTTAACTGCAACACTATAATAAAGGAGCTACTAAAGTACTCTAAAACTGGTATGATTTAAGTTGTAAAATCTATTAATATTAAGGTTATTATCTATTAATATTTAAGATAGGTTTAAAATGAAAAAAAAAAACACATCGTAAGATACAGGTTAAAGTTTTTACAAGAAAACTTTAACTCAATAATCTATTTTTAAATATTTATAATAACATTATTTAGCAACCTATTAATAAATAAGTGATGAGAAGATTATGTCCACGACATTCACAATGAGATAATTACAAAATTTACAAATTAATAAAAAAGAAAATAGTGTAAACAAGCTTAACTTATATTGAACCATATATCATATTTTAAAAATAATAAAATAAGAGAAATGCTAATGCATAGTGGGGCAAAAACACTCAAATTAACAATATATTAACAAAAAGATAAAGGAAACTCAAATAAAAGAGTTAAAAGAATAATAGGCAATTATTTTTCTGTTTTCACGACATTGCACTAGTTTTTTTTTATGTCATTTAGCATATTAAATGACCTAATTATATAAAAACGAAAAACAATCAATAAGAAAATACACCCCACATAAATAAGTAACATTTAAAATTGTAGGAAAAATAATTACCAGAAAACAATGAAACAAAAACTTTAACTTTTGTATTATTGTTTACAAAACTAACATATTGACTAGGTTTAAAGTCATTGGCCACACAATAATTTATGACTTTTCCTTAATTGTGTTAAATGCACAACATTCTAAAATGATCAAAAGTAATAAATTAAGTCTATAATAAAATTCTAATTATTATTACAATTGTTTTAATTATTTAGCTATAAATTTAAAAATTTATTTTTCTACTAAGAATAGAAAATCCCAAACGCTATAACTTATTACAATGGAAACATCAAAAAGAAAATTAAAACTGATAATAACAACACCATGATACCATAACAACACTTAAAAATCTCTCAGAGACATTATACTTAATATGAGTTTTACAAAGATCAATTGGTGGAGACTAAAATTAAAATATTTATACACGACTTGTTTGAAATGGGAATATTCAAATTGACATTTCATATAAATAAAATACTCGTGCCATAGTCTAGAGAACTTAAGCTTCTTTGCTATTGTCCTCAAAGCACAGGTATTGTTGAAGTTGTTCTCATTGATCCGAGTTATTGATATTAGGACCCTCTTCTTTAATATCACCAACAGCAGCATTAATCATTTTACTGTCTTTTAAAGATATTAACTGCAATACTTGTTCGCCATTTTGCCCGGTGATGGCCACTAACTGGTGGGGCACACTGATGGTTTCTACGTCACCGTTTGACGTGTCCATCCCACCACCGGGCTCTGACTTCGGCATATGCATAACAGGCGTCACAACCTAAGGAAATATAAATTATGAATCAACCATAAATTCTTACCTTATATGTACAATACTGTATATTTTAAAAACAAACCTGTATACTCCCATCACTTATTTGCTGTACAACTGTTTGATATAATGATGTGTTAACTGGGACTGTTATCATACTTGAAACTAAATTTAAATTTAAAATTATAATTTAATTTAAATCAATGGTCTCATTACTTATTGCCATTATTAAACAAGAGGAATATATCAATCAAAATATTGTCTATAAATGTATTAAAGCATATGAAAAATTTAAATATTTTTTTTTATTTTTTATTAATTCAAATTAAAATTCAGAGTTGAAAACCTATTTTCATAACAAAATAGTTATTTACCTTGTCCATCTTCACCAGTAATGATTATTTGGCCTTCTTGATTCATAGTGGCCTCAGGTACATTATTGAGCATTTCTACTGTAACACCATCCTGATTTTGGCCTTCACCAATAGTATGAACAGAATGAACAGTATGCCCATTAGCTCCTTGAGAGGCATTTATCTATAATTAAAAATATTAATTTAAAAATTATAATAATTTTTAAATATTTTTCTAATTAATTATTCATAAAAAACTCACAACGCCTTGAACATGTGCTTGGGTTCCATCAGGTAAAGTTATAATTGGATTGTTTGGGTCAACATGGAAAATAGACATTGACCCATCAACATTACTTATAGAATGAAGGAATGCTGGAGAATACTGCACCTACCAATGATTATTATCAACAAAATATAATTTAAAAATATTTATTTAAATATATATATACCTGAGTAAGTTGTTGTTGCTGTTGTTCCTGTGCATCAGGTGAATTTCTTGTTTCAATATTTGTTGCTTTGGGATTGAACTTGAGAACAGAGGTAACAATAGACTGACTCGCAACATTACTAACAATTGCTTTTGCTTCTTCTTCTTCATTAAATGTTGGTAGCAAATCTTCTCGCCCATGGTATTTGTAACAGTTTATAACAATTTGTCGCAACGCCCGTGTCCATGAAATCTATTAATCAATTAAAACTAAATGAAAATTCCTCAACAAAAAAAATTATAACTGCACTACAACCAACCTTTTGTTTTTCATCTTCACAGCGAGCATCCATTCGAACATTTGCCCATGGCAGCTCTTTGGGCCACCAAGGAGGTCTAGTTGTTTCCCGGCCCCAGCCTGGTTTACCTCTCCCTAATAAAAAAAAAACACATGAATTTTACATATAGAATTATAGTTTATTATTTAATTTTTAGTACATTCAAAAATATATGAACTATACAAATTAAGAAATTTAATATAAACAAAATGTTTTTTACCAGTGGAATATTTAAGCATTAAAGGTATGAATGCTCGTAATTGAGCTTGTGTCATTTTTTCAACAGGTGTTGGTATTCCATCTAAGATGAGTGGTGGTAACTCATATAGAGTTGGATCATCGGGAATAGGAGGAGGCGCATGTTGTGCTAAAGCAGTGTCAAGTTGATCCATGATAGTAGATCGTAAATTTTTTACCTTTTAAAGACATAAAATTAATAAAAAATAAAGAATATGCGATTGAATTTTTTTTAAATATAACATACAACGTCTTCCAAAGGTTTGGCACCAAAACACTTGAATCCTGTATTTTCTTTGCCGGGAGTAGCTACTAAAACAATTGCTTGCTGTCCCACTCTAGTTGCAAATTCATCTATGGTAACCTAACAATAAAAAATATATATTAAAGATAAAGGGGATAATAAATTTTACTATATAGAATTTACTTTAAGTTTTCGTAGTAATCTATTATGTTGGCGTTTACGAATTGATGGATTGGTTTCAAAGGAATGAGGTCGTTTACGTTTCTTTGAAGATACAATCGCAGCAGCAGCAGCCATTCCAACAGGTCCTGATCGACATAAACCATAACAAAGACCCCTATTGTTTGATGATCCACTATTGCGTTTTTCTACCAGCCAAACACACACACACACGAAAAAAAATTGTGCAAAAACAAAATAGATAACATCATGCAAAATAAAAAAAAATGCGTCTATCATAAGTAAATTAATATCCTTTTTTGTTTAAGTCTACAAAGGAGAATCAACTCAACTATCTAAGTCTTTATAAACCTATCTAAGACAAACAAAAATTCTAGAAAATAACATTTTAACAGAGAATTCATCAATAATAAAATAATCATTGAGTTATTAAACAAAAGAAATTATTAATTTAGGTGATGTAATATTTTAATGACTTATAATAAAGTACAATCAATAATTGTTGATACTTTTATATACATAATCCATAAAGTAAATAAAAATAAGGAAATTAACAATTATTAAATGATTTTACTGTGAAAAATAAAATATAAAACATTTTTTAAACAAACAAAGCATCTAATATAAAAACAACTTTGATCTTAATAAAATTTAAATTGGCAAAATTTAGTGTTAAAAAAGCATAAAAAAGTGGAAAAATACAAAACACGAGTGTTAACCCATAAAAATGGAGGAATATAAAAACAATATAAATATTTATGTAATTAATTATTTTAAGTTATTCTTGCATTTAACATAACATTTTATTTTTTGGAAATATCGTATTCAATTAATGATTTTGTGAAAATAGACCAATTAATGGATTAATTTACTAAAAAATTAATCAATTCAATTAAAAATGTACTAATAAAACTTTAAGGTAATGAACTTGCTTAGTATCAAAACAATAGTAATTGCAGAACTAACAAAACATTGGTTATTTAATGACTTAAAATAATATAAGATGAAATTTATAAAGAATAAAAAATATAGACCATTAATAAAAAAAATTATTTTAAATTTAATATTAATGTAAAACTAAATGAACATAATTTAAAAAATATAGCATTATTAGATTTAATCATTCTAAGCTTCAATTTTTCTAACATGACCCACATACATTTAAAACAATAAAATTTTTGTTTTTATATTCCAAAATTATTTTTTAAAAATTATCATTGTACCTGCTGCAGCAAGTTGTGCAGTAACATCATCACCCATAGCTGCAGACATTAAGTCACTCTGACTCTGGTTTGAGTCTCCATCACAATCATCTGATGATAAACATGCATCATCATCCAAATCACTATCTCCAGTCATAGTTATATCGTTACCACTTCGGTTCATCATTGTACTGACTCTAAGTAGCCTTAAAAATATGAACAATTAAATGTTGTAAATTTACATAAAATAAAATAAATAATAAATAATTGTAGTTACTTGTATGGATAATTAAGATAATATTTGTTTTTATCTTTATATTTTATAGATATAGTTATGACCAAAAATTTTCAACTATGTTCTTGGGAATATATTCTAAAAAAAATTACATAAAAATTAATTCAAATAATAATATAAACACAAAAATTAGTTATATCTATTAATTATTTGTCATACATGGAAAAATACGAATTAAAATTGTTGTTAAAACCTTAACAATGTTTTTTAAAAATGAATTGAAGTTATTAAAAAATAGTCAAATGAAATTTCTTAAAACAGTATAACAAAACATAACACAGAATATTTTGTATTAAGTAAATTAAAAATCTTTCTGGCTATAAATATTAACAAATATTGAACTATTTAAATGTTTTGGTTAAACTATATTATATCATTTATACTTTGAATTTATTTTAATTGCAAAAGCCTCAGAACTATTAGCACTATAATAATACAAATAATATTTCATATTTCTAATATTATTTAAATTTAAAGTTAGTAGTCCTAGGACTAGTGCTTAGTTTATAGAAAGGCTAATTTGTTTGGATGCAGCCAACAGCTTTGTTATCAATAAACTCAAATAATTGAGCATTGCTAAATTCAATCATAATGTTACATATATTTACGTTTATTAATAAAAATTATTGATATTCAATTAGATCTAACTGATATGTATACATAATGTGTTTAATTATATACTATATTCTAATTGATTATAACATTAATGCTATTTTTTTTATAACCAATTAAATTACATATTAATAGTAGGAAAATATTATATTCTTTTGGGCTTAACAATTCTATGATTCATTGTTTTAAAATTGGATTACCAAATAAAATATTATTTAATACTGAAATAATATGTATTTACTTATAGTTTTTAAACTGAAAATTATTAAATATTATATGGCAATGTTTTTATTATTATTATTTTTTTTTTTGTAAGCCTACAGCCTGCAGTTATTGATTATTATTGCCACAAATAAAATATTAGAGATAACAAAATACAAGCTGATAATAATAGGTTGCAATGAACCATATACATATATGATGATTGAAAGGCGATGTTACGAAACTGTAAGTTATGCAAACCATAGCCCCTGATAATACTAGTGGGTGATCATACAATATTAATGAAATATACGGAAATTTGACACCGGAGAGGAGTCAAACAAAGGGCGTCCTAAGATTATATTGGTGGAAAATTTAGAATAACACATCAAATTCGCGAATTATTTCGGGATGTGGAGATTAAGTGATGACATGCCTTGGGCACCATATTGTGCAATATGTAACACGGTCAAGGCGATATACGATTGTGGTGTGAATGAAGACAGGGCGCAACTGTTAAGGCGCAATAGAGGTAGGACGGTGTCGTCGTATGTGCGCGCCGTTGATTAGATTATATGTGCCATTGCCATGAGCAAATGGTCTGAGCAAGCCCAGGGGCCCGTGTCATCAGGAGACAGGCGTTTAAAATAATATCAACACACCCGCCGATAATAATATGAGTACGGCTGCGTACGCACCTGCGTGACGGGGGAACACCAGCAGCAGCACGACGAGTACTAGCACCGGATCCAGCAGTGGCGACCGCCATCGTCCGGCGAGTCTTTTTCGTAGGTACGTATGAGACAAAAGATCCAAATATGTAACTGCACCAAAATTGCACGAGCGCCGTTCCAAATGCAACGCACACTGAAGCGTCAACGGATTACCGTAGCGAACCACAGCCGCGCGCAATGCATTTTCACAACAACAAATGTGTTTAAACTTAATTGGCACGACAGTTATTAATTGTTATTATCTCCACGGAGTCGGGCAGTGCAACACCAGTGTCGTAGCAGTAGCAGCCGTTCCAGGTAACACAAAAAAATATAATACACACACGCACACACAGTTCGACTCAGGGCCGCGGGAGCGTTTTTATCGATCGGCCGCCTCGGGCTCGCCGATCAATGACGACGCCATTTTGAAAATTTACTAGCCGCTTTTGTATCTGTAAATATTGTCGTCGTCCACGTCGATCCAGCGGTAGAAGCCAAGGGCACCCAAGATCTGTAGCCCCTAATCTTTTGCAATAGAACAATAATATTGTTATTGTTGTATTGTTATTGTCGTGTTGTTATTGTTATTATTATCTAAGGAGCCACCGCGCAGGCTCCGTACGCGTCTGCGCACCAACCTGATTCTGTCACTCGCGAGTTGCCCGGCCAAACGCCACTATATCAGACAACGGTCTGTCTATTTTCGACGAATTTCGTCCGTAAAAGTCAAGTAAGAATTTTTTTTTGATTTTTTTACAACCGAATGACGTTTCGGTTTTGCGCGCGTTACTGTGTACGATCACGTTTTTTCGTTAACCGACGCTTACAATGTCAAACATGCCGATAAGCTAATGTCTTGTCAGGCAAAACATTTTTTCCCAGTCCTATCTGATCTCCCATTGGCCAACGTTATAAGCGCTATCTACCCGTCTTCTGTTTTGGCGCTTTATTCGAATAATTAATGATAAAATATGTATTTATTTATTCTTATATAGTAAACTATAGACTTTTACCAATTTACAATAATAGTTGCGACATCCGAATTTAATTCACGTGTATGTTTTAATTTTCCTAATATTAGTGACATTTTTAGGAATTTTTTTAGATGTGCATATTACTTTTATAAACTAAATGCAATCTTAAGTGAGATCCATAGGCTCAAATTGAGGGAGCTTGAAGGAGTTAAACCCCTAAAATTTCAAAATTATTTTTCTAAAATTTCAGAAAAATGTTAGATGTATTTTAAATATAAAAATATGTATAAATTTATAAAAAAAAATAGGGATGGATAATTACACATAATAAGCCGCTCTTAAATTGAATTGAAATTGTACCTATGTTAAGATCAGCTATTTTTTCTTCTTAGAATAAACTTGTTTTTGTTCAAAATGACTATATACTACTATCTTTGTGTCTTAAAGATACATATATAAATGTATAAATTAAAAATATTTTATGAAAAAAATGTTTAAATAGTCAACTGTACTCAAATAGTCTAAAATGTCTATGAATTATGCATTGTGTGATATATCATTACCATAGTAATAATTTATTTTATTACTTATTTTGTGTAGATGTTTTCTATTATTGGTTATGATTGTTTACATAACTTATATTTTAAGGTTCTATTTTATTTTTTTTAATTATTAATTTTCAAATTATAATTAATACGCTATATAATATATAGGAAATTCATAATTTTTTTTTTGTTAATTTTCATTTACAATTCATTATTAAATTTTTTGTATTAAAATGAATTGCATCACTATTCAGAATTCGCTTTTTTTTTTAATTAATAATATCTAATTTAATTTTTAATTTTGAGACATTTCATTAGAAAATATACCACTTTAATAAATAGTTGCAATTTGACATTCAAACTTTTGTTGATTACATCAAGGTTGAGATTTTAGTGAGTTATCTATGTCTTGGCTAAGTTTAGACTGTCATTAAAATCAATTTTTATTAATCGGTAAACACTTTTCAGTTAATTGAAATATACTATATCTAAATCCAAGCTAATGTTGACTGTTATATTAAAAAAGTATCATAAATTGTTTTTATTTATAATTTATATTAATGAAAAATTAAATACATAGTTAACGACTAGTATATAGGGTGATTGATTAACTATGCCTGACAAATTATGGCATAGTGAATATATAGTGAGGCATAGTTAATCAATCACCTTGTACAATTATAAGTAAATATTGTCTAGTTATTCTATATAACTAATTAATCAGCTATATTATTTTATTTCTTATACACATAAATCACAGACAGTTTGGTTTGATGTTAACTTCTTAGCATTTAAATTTCTTTTGAGATTTTTTCGGTGCATCATCGTAGTCATAGTCTTCTGAAACATAATCATCTACATTTGTATGTGAATACACTGATTTGTGTTTAGCATGTTGTAGTTTTGGTATTTCTGAAATCATAAATGGAATTTTAAAATTTTGATCTAAATCAATTGAGAAATGTTAATTTTTAAATTACTTCGCTGGCAGAATTTTCCTGTCCATCCTTGTTGACAACTACAAGTTTTATTAGCTGTACAATATCCATGACGACACGGGTGTTTACAATGAAAAAATTGTTGTTGAGGTTGTCCTATTTCACAATGATCTCCTTGGAATCCATATGGACAGCTACACCTATTTATACCTTTACATTTACCTCCATTCAAACATGGAATTATACATTTAGCTGAAAATATTGTTTGTTAAAATTATATAGTTTAATTTTTAATAACTCAATTAATAATTTTTAATTATAAAAAAACTTACTTCTTTCACATCTTGGACCATAGAAACCTTTTCTACACTGACAAGTATCTTTTTGTATACATTTCCCACCATTTAAACATTTTTCTGCACAAATACCTTTAAAATTATTTATTAATTATATTATTATCATTAATCCATTATAATATTAAGTATAAGTATTAATTAAATTTATGATTAATACAATTTTTTTGTGTTTTCAGATTTTTATATTACAGATAATAATCATGATTAAGCCACCAGTAATCGCCAGCAGGATGATTTTTAGAAGAGGATTACATAGTGCCAACAAAAAATTAGATAGTATAATCAGGGTGAATCATGCTGGTGAACTTGGAGCTGACAGAATATATGCAGGTCAAATGGCAGTATTAGGTTTGTATATAAACATTGAATTAACTTAGTAATAATTCATTACTATTAATCCTAATGTGAACCACTGTATGATGATTAATTTAACTATTTATGATAGGAAATACTGAATTAGGCCCTAAGATCAAAGAAATGTGGGAACAAGAAAAAGTACATAGAAACAAGTTTGAAGAACTTATACAAAAACACAGGGTACGGCCTTCTGCTTTGGTTCCATTATGGCATTGTGCTGGATACATGCTAGGAGCAGGTATATAATATATTTTAAGAATAATATAAATAATTTGATTAATAATTTTATCATCTACAGGTACAGCACTTATGGGTCCAAAAGCAGCTATGGCGTGTACTGTGGCAGTAGAGACTGTGATTGTAGATCATTACAATGAACAACTTAGAGAATTAATGGCTGATCCATCAATAGATCCAGAACTTTTAGAAACTATAAAAAAATTTAGGGATGATGAACAAGAACATCATGACTGTGGTATTGATCATGGTGCAGAACAAGCTCCTTTTTATAATATGTTAACTGCAATCATAAAAACTGGTTGCAAAGCAGCTGTAGAAATTGCTAAAAGAATTTAATGGATTTGTGAACTATTTTTATATTCATTGTGTTTATATTATAAAAGTTTTGTTTATGTTAAATAAAGTTGTTTTAGTATAAATAATGTATCTATTTTTACCTCCTTCACAGTTAGGTCCTTGAAAACCTGGAAGACAGTTACAAACTCCAGGTGCAATACAAGTTCCATTGTTCATACATTGTGGGTAACACAAAGCTGTTGTACAATATTGTCCCATGTATCCATCTTGACACTGACATATTTTTTCTGCATTGCATCTTCCATTATTTTCACATTTTTTATCACATTCTAAATCAGGAACTTAAAAATAATAATAATTGTTATTACTAGTGATATTGCTGTTAACTTTTTGATGTTTCTTACTTGTACTTTTGCTTGCCTCTTTGATTGTACACTTTTTTTTTAACTTTACTTTCAAAGGAGTGTTGGGTAAAGCACGTCGTTTTTTATTTATTATGCTATATATTAAAAGTCTTATGCTGAAACTAGCATTACCATCAACCTTACCAGTACAGGGTAAAAGAATACTAAATACTGTAAAATTTATCAAGAAAAAATGTTATATATTTAATAGTGTTTAGTTTTTTTTTATTTCAGTAAGTTCCAATGCCATTGAACAAAATATTTTTGTATTCCACTTTGTGTAATACTACATTTCATCCAACACACTAAATCAATTTTGTTATTTCAAAAATATAAATATTTATATGTAAGAAACTATTTTATATTTCTATGAATATGAAACTGGAACTAATGTGGTGTTCATATTACGAGTGGTTTATGAACAAGTAAAATTTAAGGTAACTCTCTAACCTTTAGGTTTTCTCGGTACTCTCCCTTTAAGCTTAATGGTAACTGTAGGTGGTTTTAAAATATTTTCGTCATCAGACTGTAATGTATCAAATTTGTAAAAATATTTCTTTTTTCCGGACATCCAAGTGAAATTTACATACCCCATCTACAAAAAAAATGTATATCAATTATAAAGTCATATATTTTAGAACCGTTTGTTAGAACAAATTGTTACTAACACTTTGATTAGATGGACCTTTGATATTTATTGCTTACCTCAGACGGAATTACTGGAAAATATTGTTCAAATTTTTTATCTAATATGTAACGAACTTTACCATCTCTAATGGCGTCTATTGGCATCGAGATACCTGTCAACAATATAGATAGATTACATTTAAAACTAATGAAGGTCTTTATTTGGTCCAGAAGCTTGGATAAGTATCATTTATCAACGAGTTTTGACTATATCAACTTCCACCATGTTATTTTTATTAAATAAATATTTTAAAGTATTAAAAATTTTACCTATATCATTAATTCTTACAAAACAGTTCGAACTATTAAGTTATGATAATAATTAAAATTATAAAATAATAAAAATTGAATAATTATTATTACTTAGATTAATCTATAGTTATTTAATAGATTAATTCATAAAAACTAGTATGATTTGAGACAGTTAATTTCCTGTGCTTTTTCATTACTGCTATATTTAATTTCTTTTTAGTAAAAAAAATTTGAAATATTTCAGTAAACATCATTAATACTTGATTATTAGTCGTTCAAGTATATTATATATTTAGCAGTAAATAATTTAAATAAAACTCAATATAGCTTAATGGTGCGGCATAGTTGAAGTGCCTCGCAGATAAATTAAAAAAAGAAAAGGAGGAAAAAAAACATCTTATGTTCTAACCAGTACATGAATTAGACATTAAAAAATATGTTATTGATTGCTTCCGATTTACATATATATCCCTAAACATTAACATAAATGGATACTTTGCAGACTCATAAGTTTAACGGTAATTTGTGTTATTAAATCCCATTATTTCATTACTTTTAATTGCGCAATATAAGTTTGTTTTTAAAGACATTTTATTTGCAAAAAAATACACATTGTAATGCTTCAGGGGTATAATTTTTAGTTATAAAATTAAGAAAATCAAATAAAACATAATTTAGACCTTTTGTACCTGTAGTATCTGTGATACTACAAATCCAAAATATACTACAGTTTACAATTATAACATATTAGGCTCAGTCTAATATGTTACAATATCAATAAAGAGGAAAGGGCTAGAGCTGAACCTATTGTTATTGGCCAAGTTATTTTTTAGAGATAATTTGGAATTCATTTTTTGGGCCCNAACATATTAGGCTCAGTCTAATATGTTACAATATCAATAAAGAGGAAAGGGCTAGAGCTGAACCTATTGTTATTGGCCAAGTTTATTTTTTAGAGATAATTTGGAATTCATTTTTTGGGCCAGTTTTTAGGTCAAATAACGGAGTTTAAAACTCAATGTGGGGATTGCTGTGAAGTATTGTAGAGTAAATAAAAACTATTTAATTTCAAATATTTTAAATATAATTTTTACTCAATGCTTATCGTTTTATTTGTAGACAAATAACAGATGAATTTTTTCTTTTTATTACATCTCATCATTAATTTATAAATAATTTGTTTAATGATGACTAGCAACGTATGGTAAATGGTTAAATTATGTTCAATGCTTACCATGCGTTATACATGACGTAAATTATTTAGCAATGAGAGTGTACAGGACTACGTTTACTATGACTACTCACTATAAAAAGCAAGTCTACAGAATATTAATTCATTTTTATGTATATGTTTATATGGATATCCAATGAGAACTAGTTCAAAAATATATTGTAACAATCTCATAGTTTATTTTAAGTACAAAAATTCCTTACTATTTTTTATTTTATTTGAATTTGAAACAATGATGTAAAATTATGATGGCAAATCACGAATGAAGATGTAAAAAATAATAATTAAATTATTTTTCCTTGATAAATTTCTTATCTAATAAATAAGGATTATGTCTCATATTTAGCTTCTGTAGAAAAATCACCTCGTTGAATATTAAATTATTAAAATTCAGATAATCTTTATACTTTTAATCATAAACACGCTGATAATTTTACATTATTATAACAGATTGTATAAGAATAGCTTACATTTTAAATTTTAGATGATATTAATGTTATCATTACACAAAACGATTTAAAAGCTTATAGTATTAATGCAATTATCACCTTACTTGTGACACTTATCCTTATCTTTGAATTATTACCGTATCGTTAACCATATATACAAATAAATCAATATCAACAAAAAAAATGGTCTTAGACATCCAGGTACTAATAGGAAGAATTTTTATTAATTTAATAACTGTAGTTATTAAATAATTATAATTAATGTAGGGTAATTGTAGTGAAAAAGTAATTCAATACAAATAAATTTATAATATTCATTTTCAAGCAAAAATAAAATAAATGTGGTACGTTATCAATCTTGTAGGCTTTATAAAGTGAACTTATGATGTTTCATCAACAAGGAAAGCCTTGTACGTGGTCTTAATATCCGCCTGCACCTTTTATAATCAGACGCAACCATTTTATAATGAGTATCTAATATAAGTACTTGGCACTGCAAGGAAACGACGATTTGTCCTTTTCTCGGTTGGGTTCAATGTAGTTCACAATGATTCACAGCTGTGCACATACGGACACCGACCAATTGAAGAAATGGTCGTATCTTTCCAAAATAACGCACGTGTTGTTAGCTCATACAAACGCTTCGGGTTTGTCATTATTGTTACTGTCAATGTGTCAGCGTACCGTTTAATAAAAATTATTACATTTCAATAATGCTCTATACGAAATCGAATTCGGTAGCTGAACAAAAAGATTAACACAAGGTACTTATTATAATTCATATAACACATTAAATTTATAGAGAGTTTATCAAGTACAATGTCTGCAGAATAAACTGATCAAAAAATGCTGATTCTTTATTAATAGTTGCTACAATAATATACCTGTTAATATATTATACAATTATCCTTTTTTTATGTTTCTGTATAGCTTTTTAAACACTAGACGTATATTATAAATATGTTTTTTACATTAAAGTTGAATTTTTAACAGGACTATTAGATATTAAACTTTTTATATAACAAAGCTGATAGAATAACTTATAATAAATGTTTTAACAATAAGCTAACTTCAAATAAAATAGATATTTAATTTAGCATTATATAAATTGCTTTAAGTGATTTTTATAATATGTGCATAATTTTTGGTTTTATTAATAATATTATTAATACATCAAATAAAAATAATACTCAACCAAAATGCTTTGCTGATGGATGAAATAAATATGTGTGTTATTATATCTTTACATCCACATTTGATTTAAATTTATCCGTTTATCGCTTTATAAACTACACATAAATGTAATAGATATTTATTAAAATTATTTGTTACTTGATTAAAAAAAATATTTTTGAAAAAGTTGTGATTTTGGATATAGTAAATATCCATGCTTAATATATTATGATTGACGAAAAAAAGTTCAAATGTCAAAACTATTGATAAAATTTCATCAGAATCTAAAATCTAAATTGCTACGAATTATACTTTATGTGTTAAGTATCTGAGAATTAAGATTTATTTGTAAATTTATTACTCTTAACGGAATCATCACATTATAAATTCCATATTACATTTATAGTTAATAATTTTGAGCTAGTTTATATTTAATTTTAATTAATTCTAAACTATTAATAATTTTTACTATTGTAACGCTGAAAAATCATTAAAAACAATTTTTTTTTTAAGATAAATTATTTTTGAACACTTTTAACTCAATCAAATTTTTGTGATCATAAAATCCCATAATAAATTTAAATTACGCATGATTAGAAATGTTTTGATTTTATGTCATGAATTAAAGAAAATGTTAAATTTACTTAGTTTACGGAAAAATTAAAAAATGTCATGAGTCTTTATTACTCTATTTATTGGTAATAACGCATTAAAAATTTAATTATAGCCGTGACCTGAGAAATGTCCTTACAGCTTTGTTTATTTCAATAAATAATTATGACCGTCGAACCCATACTGTAACTGTCGTTTAAAGGTTTATTGATAACTAGTAACAACTCAGAACTACCTTTTTCACAACTTATAACTGCCTAATAAAATAATTGTTGTTTGTGGCAATCAAACGATCTGATATGACATCTGACATAAAATATTACTTACTATAAGCTTCTTAACGTTCAATTTAATGTAGACGGGGTATAATATTTATTTTAATTTCATCAATAAGAACAAGTAGCGTATTTAGCTCTTTGGCGCCCTTAAGATGAATTATTACCCCTATACCCCTAAATACGCCACTGATAAGAACCACTGCAGTAAATAATAAATACTTAACTAATCAACTGATGTTAAATCCGATTATATTTTTTCTTTCGGCTTAAATCACAATAATTATTTTTGAATATTTTAGAATGCATTAAGAGGTACAGGAAATAAAAATATGACTCGTCAGAAAAATTACCAGAATATAATTTTGCCAAACATAAAAAGGAACTATTATAAGGGACTTATTCCTATTATAATTTTGTTAAATCAGATTTAATGTCAAACGTCAAGAAATTTATGACTTTCCCCTTTTCTAATTTTACACTAAAATAAAATTCTCCAAGTTCTTGTGTTTTACCTGTTATCTAAACAAAGTTACTATTAGATGCAAAAATGATCTCACCGCTGTACATTTTCACTTGTTGCTCGTCAATGAATAGAGATAAGTCTTCGTTACTACCATAGCCTAAGTGCTTTTGCTGTAGTTGCAGTTTGGCCGAATCGACAACAATAAAAACGGCGACCAAGTACATGAACGACGGCAAATGTCGCGCCAAATTCAACCGACCACAAATAGTTGAGGCCATGTGTACGGTTTTCGAAAAACAATATAATTAAGATCTATTATTATTTAGATCTCCGACAACTTAGAAGATACGGCAAATTCAATCATTATACGCAGGAAAAAAATTAATGTCGTTCCGATCAGTGACGACCGTCAAAAATTTAACAATTCAACACACTACTGCTAATTTTTAATGAATGTAATTTATTTGACAATCGTGACAATCACATATCCACGGCGTTTACCTGAATGTCAACCGGTTAACTGGGACTAGCTATTGCCTACGACCTAACCCAACCGACCGCAGACTGACTGCGACTGACCGTCTACCGTTTAGCTGCTGTCGTCGAACGCTGCCGATGCGAACATCAGGTTGCCCCGCGCCGTCGCCACTGCTCGCGAGACCGGCCGGACCAGTTGTAGTGGCTCATCTAGCGTTAGACACCCGCGCACATATACGTCCCACCCATTGCCTTTTTACCTTTTCAAATGATGTATTGTATTTTTTATTTTCAGTGTCCGATTCAGCACAATTCTAGCGGTTCGCAATTTATTCGATGTTATATCACTTAAACTACTTGTTACAAAACCGTAAAAGAAAGGCGTACAAAAAAATAAAATGTACACTTAGATTAATACTGACTGTGAATAAACCATTATGGTTACTCTTGTTGGTCTATGAAATCTTTGTTTTTATTCTTTAGTTAGATTTGTAAACTTGTAAAGAGTAATGATATTATATTGCGATTGCAAATTTTTTTTTTATTAAATACGCAAAAAAGCTAGTTTTAAATGTTTTATAATGCTGCTACGTAATAACTTATTTCGACCTTCTAATTGTGAAATAATAGTTTTAAATTATGTCGAAGAACTGCATCAGAAAGATGTTTGTGTATTCTTTCAGTGTTTAATTAAATAATATCATTGTCCAATTTAATAAATGGAGGGTGACGAACGGGGGCGTTAAAATCTTGAAATGTTATACCTCTTTACCGGTTTTCAAAAACTTGTTTAGGTCGACCACTGTATAATAATAAAATTGACAAGTGGCAACAATATATGTCCAATTTATGAGTGGTCCTCGAAAACGCCCTGTCTATAAATTATCCATCCAGTTGATATTATTACTTATGAGTTTGTGTTTTATTTCATCACCTCAGTCTGTACAGAAAAAAATATACCTACGTAATACCAAGAGTATTAGTACGATCTAACAACTTATTTAAGTAAAAACGATTTATGGATCTCAACGAATAATCAAGTACTATTTAAACACACATTTTTTATGACTTTTATATTACCAATGATTTATGTCCTGTAAATTCTGAAAAATTTTGAACATTAGAGGTAAATTATTACAAGTGACATTTTTTTTTTTTTTAAAAAAGATGATACTATTTTTGAAATACTTATTCAATGAGCTTTAAAAAATATTCATAATACTGATCTAGGAGAGTGATCACCCCATAGTCTTCTCTTAAATACACCCTTGCTTTAACCCATCTAGAAATTCTGGTATAGGTCAACTTTAGGAAGTAAACTTTTATACCAATACTAATGCAATTTAGTAGCGTCATTTCAGTTTTTAAAAGGATAAAAGAACAAAGATAATTCTTAAAAATTAAAAAAAAAATGACGATCACGATTTAAATTCTCTATTATTTTACCATGCAAAACAAATTACTGAATTAATTTAAACATAATTGACATGCAATCTTTACTTCTATGAATTTGCATTTTTTCTTTTCAATAAATAACTCATTTTTTAATATTTTACTTCAATTATTATTTATTAACACATTAAAAATAGACATATATACTTAAAAATATAAAAAATACTACAAAATATTATTAACGTTATATTAGTTGCTATGTGTTAATATTTATATATTATAGCCATAGTATTTTGTATTAATTTTATTTTTTATGGGCGGCTATTTAATTTCATGGCATGTTTGTTTCATGACCGCCTACATTGCATTTCCAAAAATCGTGAATACATATTTTTAGTTACAAACACATATTTTAAAATTCTAATAGTGGACTTGTACTATAACAATCTATAAAATATTAGCATATTTTTTATTAAAAATAATCTAAAGAAAATTGACAAAAAAATTGTAATATTATTGTTTGTCATTCATATTGTTAGTTGTAACAATTAACTTCAATACTTTTTAAAATGTTTTATTATGTATACCAGTTAGCTTATAATCAATGTCAATTAAGTACCCCAATAAAATTGTTGTAATCTTCACATTAGTATAGTCAGCAATAGTGCGAGTTGAATCGAACTAAGATATTAAAATGCTTAATTGCTATTTCAATTATCTTGAGTAACGTCAAATAGAAAGGTCTTTATTTGGTGCAATTTAGATTAAATAGACAAAACAATACGCATTCCTCTCGATGTTGATATAGCAAAGACTTTGCACAAGACTAGTTAAATTTCAGCTCTAGGCATAATTTTAGCGAACAAATTCATAAAATATTCGATGATTGTTTGAAGTTAACATTAGTTTAAAAAAAGATTTAAGGTAAGTGAATATTCAAAAAAAAAAAAAATAATAATAATAATAATCTTAACCAAAGTAATTTGAATTTTATTAATATAACTTATTAGTAAATTAAAGACCATGTATATTTTTTAATAAATTAGGTTTAGGTACTTTCTTATTGATGAAATATGTCAATATAACCAGGGTCGCATTTAGGAATTTTGCCGCCCGGTGCACTTAATTTTGCCGCCCCCCAAAAGTGTTGGATTGGGTTTTTTAGTTGGCGTATTTAATAATTCCGAATATTCAATTAATTGATTTTCATTTGCCATGGTTTCAAAAGTACTATGTAGAGGATGTTCACTAAAAAATTATAAAAATTTTCATTTATATAAAACTGAAATAACGTACAAAAGTTAACATTTGATTTTTAAATTACTTTTTATCACTAGACTCATTTAAAATCTGTTCAGCTGTAGTCTCTATTTCACTTGGCGAATTGGAGATTGATTGCCAAAAAATGAAGTTAATTTTGCGGTTTGAGAAATGACTTTTTGTTCTTTTTCTAATTTTAATTTAGCAACTTTTTTATAAGCACTTCCACTTAAACGTTTTCTGCCATCACTCATTTTAATACGTTAATAAATAATAAAATATACAAATAAAAAAAAAACACCTCAACATATTAACTCGGTCACTTGTAGTCGAGTACTAAACACAATGAGCTGTCTGTACACAACACATTATTAGTGTGACATTATTAGATAGTAATTTTGTGAAAAATGAGACAAATTATTGTGTTTTAACTTTCTTAGTATTCCAATAATAATCGACTATCAACGGACGACGACATCCATAAAACCAGTTTAAGGGAGAAAATATCAATACTTTGTTAAAATTAGATAAAAACATGAATCAAATAAATTGTCGCCTACTTTATTTATAGTGCTGTTGATTATAAAAATTACTATGTATAAGCAATACTATTATCTAACTACTAACCGTAGTCTATGTTGTTATACAGCTTTGATATATCTTCTTTTACATTTATATCTTTGTACACGTTTTAAGTTAGAAAATAATAAAGTAATATTTTTTTTTAGAAATAGATATTTTTGTTTCATAAAAATAAATTGTTCTGTTTGAAAAAATTTAAAATTAAATAAAAATAATTAATTTTTAAAAATTGTATACCTATTAAGATTTTAGCCGCCCTTCAAAATTTGCCGCCCGGGGCAAATGCCCCCCCTAAATGTGGGCCTGAATATAGTTAGTTTTTACAAGGATAAAGAAATCAATTCTTAGAAATACTCAGAGGGATATTATAGAAATGTGAATCCTTACTAAAAATACTACAATGACACTAATGTTCGGGAGAAAACAGGTAATATGACTTTTTTTTTAATAAAAATTGATGCGATAAAAGAAACATGAATCTTAATTTTTTTTAAGAAAATAATTGTCTGAAGTTTAAAGATAACCAATTTTATAACGACAATTAAAAATAATACATTAAGTTTCATAGATTTATGTAATAAAACTAAATAACAGATATAATTATCTATTATTTAATTTTAGTCAGCACAGAATTTTGATTAAATGAAGAATTGTTTAAAAAAATAAATAAAAACACATAGATCTAAATTTCTATATTATAAAGTATATTTAGCATTATGAACTAGAATGTTCAATAAATAAAATACAAATTGATATTTTAATACTGCAGGTGTGTAAGATTAAACTTAAAATTAAAATTAACAAATAATGTGTTTTTAAATAATAAATTAAACCACTGGTGTTGGTAAACTTTGTTTATAAAAATTAAAATATACATACACTTATTTCTAATATCTAAGTAACGTGCATACATATTTTTAGGTGAATATTTAACTCATAATGTAAAATACTGAAAAAATAAATTACTGTTATTAAACATAACTAATTAGTAATTAGCAAATTTTAATTTTTATACAACAAAAATAAAATATTGTTTGATTAAAAAATAAAATTTACAGCTTGGCTTCAAATAAAAAAAATAAAAAAATAAATAATATCTCAACTTACTTACACTATACTAATGGAATGCATGCGTTTTATTATGGTAAAAGAAAAAAAACTTATACAAATATAATAACAAGGTAATGTAATTATTTACTATGGGCAGTGAAAATTAAAATTAAATTATTTTGATAAAAAATATTTTGATGATGAAATCTATAAAAAAATATTTAGTTTTTATTATTTTGAAAAATAGATGTAATGAATTTTTAACAAGTTATATTAATATTTTTAGTAATGAATTTTTATCAATAATTTTAAATTTATTATATTTTATTAATCTATTTGACTTTTAAAATTAGAAAAATACTGCATTTAAATAGAAAAACATAGTAATAATAAAATACTAATGACAATAAAATTATTAGAATCTATAAATAACATAACAAATTTAATAAGGTGTAAAATAAAGCGCTGGCATAGCGTGCATATTTAAATTAAACAGAGTTAAGTCTAACAACAACAATAAATCTCACATTGATTGATTGCAGTGTTTAAAGTCAGAATAATATGTAGCAAAATTAGAATTTAATATGAAAACATATAAAAAAAATTCAATATTAAAATTATAAAACTTGATGATAAATGCATAAATGATGTTCATAATACTTATAAAAATACATATGGATGCTAAAATTGAAATTAAATATTTTTAACATCTGCTTATTAAATTATTTGCATAAGCAAAATATGACTTTATCACAGATATGGGGAAACTAATACGATAAGTTACGAAAATACAACCAGGATTTTAAAATTACATAAATAGCAACTCATAGTTAATTTTCTCAAGCCTTATGGTCAAGTAATAAAAGATAATACTGAAATGACAAACTTTGGTCTAGGATAGGAAAGAATTGTTATAAAATGCGTCAAAAGTAATTTATATATTGCCTAAACTGGGTGACTTTTTACGTGTTGTATAGTGAAATAGCAATTATTAACGTTTACACATATGTAGCAGAAGAGGACGATCCAGTAACAGCCTGACGAGGTTGTTGTTGTTGATTTTTTCTAGCTGTACCATATTGGCCAATAAAAGATCCATCCTCAGTAAATTTGGCTAAAAAAAAAAAAAATATTAACTATTTAAGCATTTTAAACAATTCATAATTTTAAGTGTCATGTACTCACACAATTAGACAAGAGTAGCGAAACCTGCCGATGTGGTTTCACCTTGTCTTTTTTTACCATATAAACCAATGAAAGAGCCATCTTCATTCATTCCTTCTACACGTGTAATCAAAGAAAAAACAAAACAAAATAACTAACATGCAAGGATATCAAAATAATAATGGGGTGAAACAAAAATAACCAAACTTAAAAGAGTAATACAAGCAGATATAAAATATAAGATAAAAATAATATTACAATTTTTTCTATGATATATTACCATACTAGTTAGATGGTTAAATAGTTAACAAAAGAAAAAGATTATTTTTACATTACTTTTAGTAATACTTTTTTTAACAAGAATATTGTTAGAAACAATTTTAAGAATAAGGAGCTATAATTTCATCATTATATTATTTTTCAATCTAAACTTATTAATTTCATTAAATATAAAATTAAGAAGCTAGCAAAATCTGTGTTATAAGTATTTCACACATATTTTTATATAAGGTGTACAGTAAGTAAGAAAAAAGGCTTTTATTTTTTTCATTGTTCATAACAATGACTTACTTTTGGAATATTTTGTATAGTTGAACTTTAATTGTATTATATGTCAAAGTGCAGGTAAACTGGTAAAATTTTAAAGAATTATATTAGCTATTGCAACTACAGGGTTAATTTTACATTGATAGAAATAATGTGCAGTAAACAAAGGGCAAATTTGTTTTTTAAGAATCATAAGTTTAAACATGATGCATATAAAATTAAATATTACAATGAGTTTACCTGTATCTCCTTCTCCATACTCTGCCATTGAGTCAGTATCACTTTCGGGTGATTGTTTTTCACTTCCCATTCTTTTACCACCAAGCCTAAAAAAATAGCTTCTATTGAAAATTCAATTTAAATTTTTATAAAAAATTTTCATACGGTTGAGAATATTCATGGAAATGAGGTTCATCTGGATAATCATGACGCCCTCTAGCTGCTTCAGACTCATGAACAATATATTTTCCTCCTCTGTTACGTTTTACCATACACACAATAATTAATAAAATGATCAAGAATGTTAATGCTAACAGCATTGCAATAAACCATCCAGTTGTCGCAACATTTTCACTTCTTCTAATTACAGGATCTAAAATTTTATTAAAATGATATCAACAACATTTTTTTAAAGAATTAAATAAAACAATTACCAGTACTTGAAGCTTCAACTTCCACAGGATCTGAAGGTCTAGAAATTTCACCATCAACAGCAACAAGCAAAAACTCATATGTTTCACCAGGTTTTAAACCTTTAATATCGATAAAGTTTTTGTCAAGCTCAGGTTGGGTTTGTTCATACAGTGTATCACCTTTAAGCCTTTAATAAACATAAATGATGATATAAAAGTATTAAACAATTTACGCCATTCATATTTTGGTATTTACTATAATATTATCTCTATATATATATATATCATATTAATAATATTCCCATAAATAAGTCTAATGATACGATTCGCAACTTAGTTTCATCCTTTCTACAGATCTTTCTCCTGTGGCTCATATCTATGACTGATGTTGCGAAGCGCTAAAGCTTTTTGGGTTCATAAACTACACTTGTCAAAACTTTAATCAAATTTTGTCTCTATAAACCCTTTACTAATACCTTGGTCATTCTATCCTTGAATGTGGATAAGTTCTTTGGGATCCATTGACTGCTTGTCTCTAATTCCAAAATTGTTCAAAGAAAATTTCTACCTCTATGTCCTTAAAGATTTAATTTTTTATGTATTCCACATGATTGTGCTTCTGTCCTTTTGGTATTTAGTATCCCAACTCTAGCAGATCATAGACACACTATTAATTTTAGTTTTTTTTCAAAGCAATGCAGATTCTCCTGAATTATTATCACTCATTAATTTTAAAACTCCACTAAGAATCACCCGTTCCTCTACGTCTATCATTACTCTTCAATCCTCAACTTCACAATAATTTGTTTCAGAAACCCCTTAAGTACAGAAAAAAATGATAATTATTTTAGTGCAGAAATCCCCTTTGTGATATCACTTGTAGGGTTTCTGCTCTAAACAAATTATTCCAAAGGTGCGATTAGCCGCATAAATAAGACGCACATATGAAATTTGTGCACAAATCGATGTGTCTACTAATAGAATACAAGAAAATACAAAAAAAGTTGTTTTACAATTTTTGTCTTTTATGGGGTTTCTGAAATAAACGATTGAATTATTAATTCTCATAAAATCCAGTTGATGAAGGCTGCTAATGCTTACATTACCTCTCATTATAATTCACAAAACTTAAATTATTTTATTCTCAATATATACATATTTGTATTATTGATATAACTTGTAAATACTATGTTTATTGTATTATGTACTAGATTCAAATTTGTAAATTGGTCTTGTCCCATTAAAATATTTAAGAAATACCTATATTTCACATAGAAATGTGATCCTGGATTTCCATCTAACTTGGGAGACCACATTACTCGTACTGTATCAAAGATATTGTTTGTTGCTACAAGTTGATGAATAAACTCTGGTTTATCTAATAAAGTACCTTCTGGGAGAGGAAGTTTTGTTTGTTGTTCAACAAAGAATCTAAAACAAAAATAAGTATTTATTTTAATTGTATTATTAAACATAAAACTATAAATAATAATTAGGAATATTATATTATTAATAAATATATGAAATTATGGAGATAGATTCTAGTATTCTAGAAGACAATCAAGTAAAAATATTCATATAACATTAATATTTTGCAATTCACTATAAATAAAGTACTTAATCATTATTTATAATTTTTAAACTACTTGTTCATTTCATTATATTGAAATTAAGAAAATATTAGGGATAAAATAAAATACATACGGTTCGCCAGCACCAGCCTTAGTGGTAGCTCTTATATAAATTCGATAATTAGTTCCAGGTTTTAATGCAGCTATTTTAGCACTAGTCTGGGTAGGGTTGGTAATTGCAGGTCTATATTGCATTAAACCTACTCCTTCTGGTGTCATTGTCTGATAAGAAATTTCATAACCAGTTAGCACTCCATTAGTTTGTTCTGGTTGCTTCCAACTCAATAAAATTGCAGAAGAACCCCATTGTTCAGTTTCAACACCATGCACAGGCCCAGGCACTAAGATAAATTAAATTTGTAAATTATGTTTCAGTTAATAGAAAACTTAAGGCACAGTTAGTTACTATATTTAAATAATTACCTCCTTCTGGAGTATCAAAAGATATCAATGGGCTTGGAGGTCCATTAAAACGACTGTTATGAGCTAATATACGAACAAAATGTTTTGAATTGGGGATAAACTTTTTAATCTCAGCTGTTGTTGTATCAGGGCCCACTTGTTCTTCTATTACATTATTTTCTCCATCTCTCTCTGTCCAAAATTGAATCTAGCATAAAAAAATGAAATAAGTATATATATATATATATATATATATATGGGAAATCAACAGAAATATAACAGTTTTTCTATTTTTAGATTATTATAATAAACAAAGTATAATATTATTTACAGTATATATATTTAAAATTAAAATTATATTAAAAATATTTAATTTAAAAAGCCACCCTAAATTACTAAAAAATGCAGATACGTATTATACTAAACATATACTGTCACTTTGATCGAAGAAACCCTCTTATATAATTCCAGTGTGACCTTATCACCTATTGACATTATTACTAAGTAATATCACATTTTGCCAGTTTACATAAGTTTGATAATGAATTTTTCAGCTACGGTTTTACTGGAATGATTATGTCTCAATAAATGTTCAGTCATAGGAGATTCATCAATTTCTCTAGTTTTATTAGCCAAAAAGCTAATTAAAAACGTAAATAGTAAAAAAAAAACTTAATATAAGGAAGGCAAAAAAATGCTCAAAAATAAGAACAATTTAATTAATTAGAATCTTGGTCTACTCAAAAATTCATTGTTAAACTTGTGAAAAGTGGCAAAATATGATTTTACTAAGTTATAATGTTACTGGGTGATAAAGTCATGGGGGCTATATATGGGTTTGTTTTTGGTCGAGATGACAGTATATGTTTAGTGTTAATAATGGTAACATCGTTCCTGAAATACATACAAAATACGCAATTTTTTAGTAATTCTTTGTGGTTTTTTGAGTTAAATATTTTTTAGATTTAAATTAATATTTTTAATATAATTTTAAATAATATTATTCAAAAGTGAACAATTTTTATTATATATATGAAATATTTTTCATATACATAAAAGTTATGATAAAGCATTTACAAACAAAAACATATAAATCAAATGAACACAATGACAAAAATCATTTTAGCTAACTCACACAACACTTGATTTCAGTATCCCTATGTTAATACTAGATGACACTGCTACCCACCACTAGACCATGTGAACTAGTGCCATCTAGACAGTACCCACATATATATATATAATTTATACATACCTTATAACCTTTAAAATGACCCTTCACAGATTCTGGAGAAACAGGATCCCAACTTAATATAGCACTTCTACTACCAGTAACATTTCTTATAGTTAAATTTTGAGGTGTTTCTTGTGGTACTAAAATATTAATTTATTTTTAAAGCAAACCATAATATAATTTATTATGTATAAATAATAATTAAATTTACCATCTTCACCGGAGTAACCAATAATTTCTTGTTGAGGAACATTCGATTCACCTTTTTCATTGGATGCAACAATTTTAACTTTATAACGGTGATACGTTGGTTGATTACCAATTACTAATTCTTTTCTTGTGTAATCTGTTATTTCTTCTGTATTCCAATCTTGTCCAGGTATATCTTGTTTCCAATACACTCTGTATTTTAACCCAGGGGCATTATGTTCAATTTTTGGCATAGGCTACAATAATAAACTTTATTAAATAACTATGTAATTAAAATTGTTTATTTAATACTTACAGTCCAATGAATCACTAAATTAGAAGGATCAGTACCCGCTGCTTCAACATTTTCTGGATTTTTATAAGGCACATCAGGCTGAGTAGTACAAACACTTGAATGTAATGAAGGAGTAGATCTACCAATTTTATTCATAGCAATCACTCTAAAAGTGAAATTAGCCCAAGGAGTCATTGGAACAATGTATGTTTGATCTGAAGCTGGTACATTGTCTGATGCAATAGACCAAGTATCAGGTGCAAAACTTGTATTATATTCAATGACATAACGCAGTATAGGAGCTCTATTATCACCTTTTGGTTGCCATTTCACAGCAGCATCTTTCTTATTACATGTAATTCCTAATAGCTGGGGTGCATTTGGCTTATCCTAAAATAAAAATAAAAAAATAAATAATCCTAATAAAAATATTTAGATAAACTTCCTGAGATTATTAAAATCAATGCATACTTGAACAGTAAGTGTTGCACTCGCTGTAGCTTGATCTAAATTTGTTCTAGCAAGGCAAGTGTAAGTTCCAGAGTCTAATTCAATAGTTTTTGTAATAGTCATTGAATAGTCATTTGTTTTTACAAATCGTGGTTCAGATTCAAAATTCACCGGTTCATCTTTAGCCAACCAATCAATATCCAATTTGAGTGATCTATCAGCAACTGCATTACAATGAAATGTAGCCATTGACCCTGCAACTACTTCATAATCTTCTGGTGCTGCAGTTATTATCGTGTGAGCTAAAATTAAATAAAATTAATTCATCAAATTATAAAAAAAAACGTAATATATAATATTACATACTTTTAACTGTTAATGTTCCTGAAGCATTAGCAGTGCCATAGTTGTTAGTAGCAATACATGTATAGTTTCCTGTGTCTGTAAATCCAACATCACTGAAATATTCATTTTAATTAGTTAACAATATAAATTAATGTATTATGTACAGAATGTTCCATCATATTTTGACAAATTCTACAACTTATGATTCACTGAATATTTCTGTAGAGCATTTAAACATTTTTTTTTTTTGATAACAAATGTTTATCTATGCTAAGCAGAGAAAAATTTAAGTAATTCAATTTTTACACAATAAGTATTGGTTGTAACTACAGGGTTGAAAAGATTAAAAATTAAAATTATGCTTTTAACAAAATCTAAGAGTGCAAAAATTAAAAAAAAAAAAAAAAATTACAGCAAAAATAATATAGTGATTTTTAATTCAATAGTAACTAAAAGTTATAATAGTTAAATTTGTTCTACTCCAGTATATATATACATATATATTTTTTTTTCTAAAAAATATTTTTTATTATAAAAAGCTTAATTGTATACTCTTTCTTGCTCTTAAATAGCCAACATGTCATACTGAAAAAAAATACATACAAAACAACAACCTCCATTTTTTTTTATATTTTTAATTAGATCTGATTACATTGTTTTTTTCTATGTCCTTAATTATTTCTTTTTTTCTAACCTTAAAAAAACTAAAACTACCAAGCTACACAGAATCTTTTCTTTACTTTAAAATTAATTTAGTCTATTATTTGCTTGTAAAATACATATTTGGAAATACAATATTGAGTTTTATATTATATACAAAAAAAATCTATTTATCTACACAAATATAATACATCTTAAATTTATATATAAACCATGCCAGTCATTTAGGACAATACAGGCATTTGTATATGGCCTCACACTTATAGAAGCCTTGTTTGTTAAGTTGATAATCAAAAATATTTTTAATTTAAACAAGTGCCTGATTTAATTAGTAACTAACTTTATTTGCAAATCTCCATTAGATAAAATTGTATAACGCCCTCCAGTTAATTCTATTAAATTTCTTGTCCATTTTACTTGTGGTTTAGGTACACCAGAATTTTTACAGCCAATTATAACAGTTCGACCGTCAACAGTTTCAACATTGTTTGGAGGTTCAGTTATTTCAGGAGCCAATGCTAAAAAAAAAAGAATTTTTTATTTACTCTATATTAATAAGGTAAGACTTCTAATCAAAAAACTCATAAATTAATTTTTAGATATTCAGAGCTTAATTAATAGAACACCGAGTGTTGGATTTTAAGATTGAAATTTGTACTTTTAACCATAGACAGAAACATAATTTAATTAATTTCTAACAAATTATTGACTACCAATATTAAAATTATTTCTAACCTAACACATTAATGTAAACATCTTTGTAAACATAACCAAGAGCATTAGTCGCATTGCATCCATAATTGCCAGTATCATTTTTGACCAAAGGTGAAATTGTTATAGAGTTTGCAGTAACTGATCTTCTTATATTAGGTGGCGCTTCAGCCAAAGGACGTCCATTGTGAATCCATTTAATAGTTGGTTCTGGGTTACCTTTAGCTTCACATTTTATAATAGCAGTCTCACCTTCAGCACCTTGTACAATTTCAGGAGTAACGGTAAAATAGGGAATGGCTAAAATAAATAATTACAATAGTTTTAGGAATTCTCTCAGATAAATATTTTTCAACATTACCCATGACATCTAATTCAATATTATATGATTGAGGGGATCCAACACCATTACTGACTTCACAAGTATATTTTCCTCTGTCTTCCAACAAAACTTTGCGAATAACTAGACTTTTGCCATAATTTCCAGTAGTTACACGTTCATTAGGCTGTATTTGCTTACCATCTTTTAACCAAATAGTTTCAGGTAATGGCCTGTCAGGATTTTAATACTTTTAAATATGTAATATTTAAATTTAGTATCAAATAAAATAAACTAAACTTACGTTCCACCATATATACAAAACAGCTCAACTTTTTTACCTAACAAAGCTACTTCATTTCTTCTAGTAACATATTGCTGGGTTGGTGGATATTTATTTTGTAAAGCAGTTCCTGCAGCTTGGATTACATTTAAATTGACAGGGTTACCTAATTTATATTCACTCCTGTAAATTAATTAATGTTTATTAGATATTATGATTTATCATTTAATTTTATTTACTGTCTACCTAAATACTGATGTAGCTGCACAAGTGTAAGTAAAACCGTCACTGTTATCAAATCGGGTGACATTTGAAAACCACAAATTCCCTTCAGGGTCTAATGTCATTCTACTATTGTTAATACTTCGTATTCCCCCATCAGTGTTCTAAAATAAAATATAAAAAAAATTTTTTATAAGTAAAAGCAAAAGTAAAATTAATATTATTAATGCAATATTAGAGGGACAGTATGGCTGAATGAGTTATTTGACTTTGCCTTATGCTCACTATAACAAGTTTAAGACTCAATCATTAGCTGATTAATTTACTGATCAAGAAATCAGACAGCAATCAGAGCCACCATAACTCTCTCTGGTATCAGATTAATCACCCATTCCAGATTACAAAAGGTTGAAACTCTTCCTTTTTGCAAGAAACTTTTAGGATTGGGCGAGAAATGAGAAAAAATTAAAAATTACTTGGATTAACCAATAAACATTTGGTTTTGGCCAACCAGTTGGAGGATGACACGAAAGTTTAAAAGGTTCCCCTTCTTGAGCTTCAAGAAATGCTTCGGGTTCATCTTTGAATGAGTTTAATTCAGCTTTAACAACCATAATAGATTTTGAAGTAGCAATACCCCACGGGTTTTTGGCAAAACATTGATATTGGCCTGAAATAGGTTTATTTAGTTATTAATTATATCTAACATTAGTAATACATTTGAAATAATAGAATACTACAGTTTAGCAAAGCTACATTTTTTAAGTTCTTAATTTTTATTATTAAGCTCATTTTAATTTAAATGTCTAAAAGACATTTTTATTAACAGTTATAGATTTTACTAACCAAAATCTTCATCTCTAGGGGATGTAACTGTCAAAGAGCCTCGGCCAGGTTGTTGTGATATTCTGTCATCATAAGTTTGCCATTTATAATCCTTTCCATTTTTCATCCAATAATATCTAAATGAAACAATACACTTAATAGATTTGTCTAATTATTTTTATGATTAGGAATCTGTTACTCTGGTGCAGGTTCACCCTCTGCTTCACAATCAATTATGAAAGGTTTATCATTTTCATTTTGTTGAGTAGCTACTTGGAATAATAGTTCATCAACAATAGGTTCTTTAACAATTCTAGGAGGTGATTGTACTATAATAATTATTAAAAATTGTATTTTAGTCAGAAATAATAAATGAAAATTAATAAATTTAAAATAGTATTACATAAATTTATGGCTAATTTCCATATAGATTAAGACCCAGAAAAATAAAATAACTAAAAAATACGATTCAAAAAAATTTGTTTTTAATTTACTCTTTCTTGGGATAATTAGTGTTTGGTTTGCAAAAATTGTAACAACAAATATTTATTCTGTTTTTTTTTTAGAATATTTAAGTAACCTTCAAACATAGCCAACTACTTTAATGTGTGAATGTCACTACAATATATAACAAAATTAGCAGTAATAAAAATACAAAATAGCAGTGCCAAATTATAATATACAAAATGATCCAACATATTAAAAAAATAGTAATTCAATAATTGGGTAAATAGAAAATATAACAGTAATGTATACTTACTTTTAGATGAAATTATAGTTAAGAAAAAGTAAAGAACTATAGTAGAGTAGAATAAATTTGTTGAGATTCTATTCATTTTGGAGATTATCTTGGTACTATCAAATTAATAGGATAAATATCTGAAATAAATAAATGTAAAAATTAAATTAATTGAAAACTTTGTGTACAACAAGTCTCATCAGGACTTGACATCGTTGAAACTTTTATTTCAACAAATACTTTACACACACACTTATAAGAATTTATGATTGATCAATAAAAATTTATTTTTTATTTCTTTCTATTTCTATTTTTTATATTAAATTTCGCGGGTTTGGAGAATCTGATTATCAAAAATTTTCATGTTGGTGCACATGTCCCTGAAGTATGATAACATTTTCATGATTTGTGTCAAATTTTGTGTAAAAATTGAAATATAGCGTAAAAAACTGTATGAAATGTTAATAAAGGCCTATGGTGAGTCTGCACTGAGTAAAACAAGGATTTCGAGTGGTATAAACGTTTCCAAATGGCCGTGAAGACGTTGAAGATGACGAACGCCACAGCATATCAGTAACTGATGAAAATATGGAAAAAAAGTGAACGAAATGGTTATGAACGATTGCCGAATCACAATCATAGAAGAAGTCCCTGATGATGTTGAATATCGATTGGCTTATTCCATGAATTTTTTTCGAATGTTTTGGGAATGAAACGCGTAGTAGCAAAATTTTTTCTGAAATTGTTGAATTTTGAACAAAAACAGCGGCGAATGGAATTTTCTCAAGAGTCACTTAATGAAGTCAACGACAATGTAGAATTATTGAAACTTGTTATGACAGGTGACGAAGCATGGGTTTATGGGTACGGCGCCGAAACAAAGGCTCAATCGTCCCAATGGAAGCATTCTGGATCGCCAAGACCGAAAAAGGCTCGACAAATGCGATCGAACGTGAAAGTTATGCTCACTGTGTTATTCGATTTTAATCGAAAAATACAGTGAGTTATGAATTCTTCCCACGGGGTCAAACGATTAAAAGGAGTACTACCTACAAGTTTAACGCAGTTTGTATGAAGTAATCCGCAAAAAAAGCCCGGAATTGTGACAAAAAAATTCATGGCTTTTGCACTACGAAAATGCACTTGCTCACACTTCATTGCTTGTTCGTAAATTTTTGACGAAAAACAGTACTGTAACGATGCTCATGCCTCCATATTCGCTAGACATGGCTCCGTATAACTTTTTTCTAATTCCAAAAATAAAAAGAACTTATAAAGGCTATTGTTTTACAAGCATTGATGACATTAAAAGTGCATCGATGAATGAGCTAAAGGCAATCCCAAAGATCGAGTTTGAGAAGTGTTTTCAGGATTGGAAGAAGCGTTGGTACAAGTGCGTAATATTTAATGGGAGTTTTTTGAAGGCGAAAACATTAATATAGACGAATAAACAAATATTTTTTTCAAAAAACAAAAATTCCCGTTATTTTTTGAACACATCTCGTAGTTTAACACTCAAAAATATTGAGGAAAAAAGTAACGCAAAATATTTGTTGGATCAAAAGTTATTAAAGATGTTACATATGGTGGGATACCTGTATTATAAAGATGGCTCTAACATCCATAATATGGAAATTAGAATTTAAATGGTGTAAGTTAATTATTAAGTAAAAATAGTTTGACTAAGAATGTATAAAATTTTAAATATTTATAAATTTAAAACATTCAGAAATTATAAAATACACCACTATAACAAAAAACACTTCAATGCAAGTCTGTAGATAGTGCTTAATTTTTAGAAGAAATTATTGAATTAAACATAAAGCAATATGAACTCCTATTTCTCTATTTACATTCTGTACAAGTTTTATGATTTACAAGTATAATACATGAATAAAATACTTATCATAGTAATTAAATATAGTATTTAGATATTTACGTTCAATAGTTTGAATAGAAATTTTCACAGAGAAATTAATAAGTAATAAAGTTGTATACGGAGTATTAATTTAATAATAACCACTTGATTTCGCTTAAAATAATAATTATATTTTTTATAATTTTTAAAAACAATTTTTGAAATGATACTACAGAAGTTATTAATATTTTTAAATATAAAGTAGAACTAGAGAATGACAGAGTAGTATGTATTGATAACCCACATTTCATCTACATTTTAAAAGTCAAAACTTCAGAAGTAATAAGGCAAAAGTTATAATCAACCAATGATTTTTTTAATTAGATATTTTTTTATTTTATAAAATAGTTAAACATGTATGTTGTAATTTAAAAAATGAAGTTGACACTCTTATAAGGTATGAAAGATGAATTAAAAAAATTATTTTAATTGACAAATCGAGCAAAATATGAAAGCAAAATATATCAACAAAGATTTTATAAGCATAATTAATATTTTATCGAATGGCTATTAAAAAAATCATCCTGTTTTCTGTTACCTCACTTTATCATAAGCCGTTCATAGCTATAACGTTTTTTTTGAAAAGAGCCGCTTCCTTTTCTTTAATACTCTTATTGGATTGACATAAAAAGATGCAAAATATATATAATTAACACTAAACCTTTTTAAATTTTTTTTGTAAGGTGGTGAGGTTAAATAGGCTAAAATATAAACATAAATAAACAAAGAAAAAAAAAGAAAAATAATAAAACACGAAAAACTATGTTTTGTACATAATTAACATTAATTATTTTTTATCTAACTTCGGTGGCTGTTTACATACAAAAGTCAAGTATCGGGTCGTATTCTTTTAAAAACCTATACTATGTAAAATAAACTTTGATTTAACATATATTTAAAGATAAGAGTATTCCCAAACTTTTTCAAATGTTAAGTATAAAAGTTCTTCTTTTTATACAAATATTTCAAATTTTTAACCCCTTCTGTATAAGGAGAATTGGTGATTAAAAAAAAAAAAAATTAGGAAGAAAAGAAAATACAGAAAAGTTTTACGGTTGTTACGATATTTTAATATTACTATGAATAATTTTATAAAGTGATCCAAATTAAGTAGAACACCTATTTTTTCTGAAACTACTGAAAATCTTGTAAAGAGAAAAAAATTGCACAGTAAAAATTTTACTGTACTATTTTCGCTTTGAACTTTTTTTTTTATGTCCACGCACAGTTTATTTTAAAACACTATTTTGCATTTGCGCATAGCACTATATTTTATCAAGGAATGTTCTATATAAATTTCTAGACGGTTATAAGTATATAAGTTTGTACATTCATTATCAGAACAGTACAGTATTAATAATCTCATTTTTCTCATATACGATGTACGTGTCTATGAGTTTATCGTAAAAATTGGGATCCATCTATGACAACTATACTGTCCAACTTTAAATCATAGTTACCAATATTTTTAATAAAATTCAATTTTTTACATAGTATAATAACCTGCCGATTTTTTTTGTAATTACTTTATAATATAAACACAATTATTATAATTAGATTATTAATAATATTTGTGTATACTAGGGATGCATTTAAGGGAGATATGGGTCCCCCTTGAACAAGCACTATCAATATTTTTTTAAGTAACTTCTAAGAAATATGGACCTATTGACCTTTTGTTTTTGATCATCACTTTGAATTTTAACAAAAAAATTCTATAGCATGTTTAACAAAGTAAAAAAATATTAAATACCCTCCCAAAAATAATTTCTGAACGCCTACGAGGAATACATCTTTAACAAACGACAACCTTATACCCAATATATTTTACTATATTCTCTTTTTGAATTTTCCTGATTTTAATAATTACATTTTTAATATATTTTTGTTACACTAATTCTGATGTAATATTTTTTCTGCAAAACACTTATCGTGCCCAGCATAGCCGGGTACACCTAATGGAATCAGTGGCCTACTTATGATGACGACTCAAAGAGGCATACGCGACTTCGATGCGTAAGGCTCGTAAAGTCCCGGGTCTGGGGCGGAGCCCCACCCAGGCGAAGCCTAGTAAACTATCAATTTTGGTTACTGTCAAAATAAAATTAAAAACTTTTATGAGTATTTCATGTTTAGACTCTTATGATTTCAAAATACTAATTAATAATTTTTTTTTAGTATTTAGTATTCCATATTTCAAATATTTTGCACATACTTTATCAATTAAAGAATATTATAATAAGAGAACATATCAATATGTGCAAGGAATAAGTCATATTTTTCCCTTTTCACGAAAATTTTCTCTGTGATTACACTCTTTATGTTTATCAATTTTCTTAGTAGTTTAATTCTGATTTAAACCAAATTTTCCACAATTTGATTGAAGTTATTATAAGAAGAATAAAACCTAAATTAAAATCCTTATAATTGAATTTTTTGATTTACTGTCTTATTTGTTGTGTATAGCAATATCTTTTTAAAATTTAATTTATACTAAGAAATAAATTAAGTTTGTAATGTTCAATCATAATAATTTAGATGCAAAAATAAAATGTTCAATAATTTATAAGAATATTTCCATAGAGCAGGGTCACTAGCACAGTAAAATTAAAATGTATTATCTATTGAAACATGACTTTAATACAAAAGTCAATACTATAGTCGAATATTTATGGTAGTTGTTATTAAAGAGGATTTTTTTCATTATTTTGAACATATGGCTTTTCTTCTGTTTATTCATCAATTAAATTAATTATTAAAGTATTAATAATAACATTTTTCCTTTTTGTTAATTAATAATATGTAGCGTATACACATTTCTAACTATTGGGGTATTATAAATTCGATAAAAATAAAGAAGATTAGTTAATATACCTGAATAAACCACTCTCACAAAATTGATGATTAAGATATTAAGACAAAATTAAGATATTATTAAAGTAATAAAGTAGTAAATTAAATTAATAATTTTTAATATGCATGAATATATTTTTGTATTGCACACACGTTGATGAATAATGAAAAAAAAAAATACTCTAATTTTAATAAAACCAAAATATTAAGAGTAAGATGCATCTAATTGGAAAGAAAAACATTTTTATTTATGTAATACAATAACTATTGTTAAAACTAAATGTAAATAAAAAATGCATTTACGTAAAATACATAGAGAGCCATACAACACACGAGTTTGTCTGTCAGTTAAAACAATGATATAGCACGTCACTAAAAAAAAAAAAAAAACTAAAAACCAGTACGGTGCAGCCCACACATCAGCTAAGACTAAATAATTACTGTCTGTTTTAGGCGTAGTAATATAATAAGCGTATTCCATTCATTTGAAAGAATTGATTAAAAAGAACACAAAAAAATGGTCTATACTCCTTGGGGGCAATTCAGATTTATACATGTCATAAACTCAAATCACCTAAATGTTTTAACTTCAACTATTTTATTTAATCGTTAACTAGAATTCAATGCAAACCTACTTTTTCTTGCCTATAGCTACATGAGCATAAAATTAATATAAATTAAATTAATGTTCACGGCAAAACGTCATATCGTCGATCAATTAAATAACGTTTTCTTACTGAAAGATATAACACAAATGATACTCGGGGCATGAGAGCAAGCAAGAACGAGTATTTTAAATGAAACCACAAACTCGTGGGACTAGATCTATCTATTTACAACTCATGACATCATCGTTTAAAAAATAATATTATGAACATTTTTCTAAACAATAATTGTTGGTATATTGCCATTTTGAGTTAAACCGGAAAATAATATTGCAAAATTATAAAATAATAATAATAAAAAAATGAAAGAAAAATAATATCAAATGAGTGATGCTTGCAGGTCAAACAACGAACTTGATTTATAAGAAGTGTAAAAAGAAATATATGACTCATTGTGACCAAACAAGCCAAGTTAGCTGAATCGATACGTGCTTACTTGATGTTTAGATACTTAGAATAATGTGGACCCGTACTAACAGAAAAAAATGATATTTAACTACACGACTGGAAAGAATTTATTCAACGTCACGTTCTAAACTATAACGAAATCGGATTTTTTCTTTTTATGAATGGACATAGTAAAATAATATAACTCAATATTATTTTTATGAATATAAAAGACATTACGAAAACAAGAATAAATACATCCCTCTCATTCCTTATCATATCTTAATCAACAAGTTTCATACTAGTTTATTTAGTAGGAGAATAAATGCAAACAAATATCAATTTTATAAATACCAAAGATTGTTTTTAACTTGAATTAATAGTTAGCTTATAACAATTAATGAATTAGGTTATGAGTATATTCATGAAACAATGATTTAAATTGATAATTTTTAATGATATATTTATTATTTTAATGATATTATTGAATGTTGTATTATAAATAATTCATTAAAATGCATTTTTAAACATGCATAATATTAATTTAATAATTATAATTAGAGTAAGAACGAAATATTAAGAAGGCATTTTTATGATAATACAGAGTAATTCTTTTAACACTAGCCACTCAATTTTTCCTAAAATAGTAATTACGTTAAGAAAATCCTTGGAATTTTTAGTTTTATTAATATCTTGATTTATTACATTATATATTTTTATTAGTCACTCAACGTGTTTTTAGTATTTTGATCAATATTTTACCAAAAAACAAAAAACGTCTTATGTTAATGTATCTTATGTATTAATCCAAGATAAACAAAAAAAATTTGGCTGATATTTATGTATAAGCAGAAAAAACATTGTTCAGAAATTGATTTAATAAATAAATCGTAAGCTAAAATATAAGATATTCTTGAAAATATTAATAAATGACGGTAGATGACTATTAAATACTTTTAAGTAAATTTGTATTTTTCAATAAAAACTATACTATTTTGATATATTAATCATAACATTTGATTAAAAATTGAACAGATGACTTTTTTTTATTTTAAATGTTCAAAAAATGTCAATTTCAATGTATATTTTATAAGCAAGTTAAATAAGTATAATGCCATTAAAAAATAATAAAGTTGACTACTTTATATGGTATGAGGTACGATTAAAAAAAGAATTAACAACTTATAATTCAAGAAATATATGAAACTAAAATAAAACAAAAATAGTTTTTAACATTAGTATTTTTAAAAAGATCAAGTAGTTAGTGTTAAAAGAATCATCTTGTATTATAAGTGCTATGATAATATAATTAGAAGTAAATCTTTACCGATTACCATTAATATTTTTATAATGTTTGTTATCTCTTCTCAAATAGAAATGTATCTTTTTTTTAAATACACCTAACTATACAGGGTAATTAACGTATCATTTACCGTTAGATATATTCTAAAATAATATTTTTTGGATTGTGTTTATAATTTATTTCTCAATTTTTAAGCCATTAAATACTTTTAATGTCCATCCTGTATCTCTTATAAGATACTAATTTCATTTTTAAATACATATTTAGCTAGTTTAAATAATAGAAAATGATTCAACTAAGAAAATTATTAGTCAATAACAACTTTTGAACCAGTAGTAAATTTTATTTTTTTCATAACCCTGTATTAATACAATAACATTATAGAACAAAGAGCTTAAAAAAAAAACAAAACTTATTTAGGTATAATTTATTAATATTCAATCAATTTAATATTATTATTAATTTTTTTTTATAAAACTTAGAATTCTATATGAATAAATAACTCTATTTGTCAGGGATTAATTTAAATTTAAAGTTTTATGGCAATAGATTTAATGTTAATTAAATTTTTTGTTTTTAATCAAAACAACAGTGATGAACTATAACATTATGTTTTGTTTAAATAGGAAATTAGATTAACATTATTAAATAACTCACAGTGTATTATTATAAACACTTTAAATACTTAAAGTATATAATTTAAATAGTTTATATTTAATACTTTATCTATTTATAATACAATAATAAAAAAGTTATTTTAAAAGAAATTGGTCTCTTAGAGGTGATTTTTATGTTTTGATAATCTAATAATTGTTATATTTCCAAGTATTTTAGACGGTTTTATGAAAATCTCATTCATCATAGTTATAAGCAAAAAAAAAAAAAAATGAAGCATTCAAAAGAAAAGTAATTATAGTGAAAGTATTTTTAACTTAAATAATTTTTTTTAAATCTAAAATGTAGAAATACTATGTTATTTGAGAGATATTTACATAATATTAATTTCAAGATGAGATCTAGCTTAGTTCAACTATAAAGAGCATCCAATTACAATTGAAGGATACATATTTCTTAATCTTCACTAACTTTTATCAAGAGTACTATTCATATGACCCCTACCCTCTATTTAGAAAGACGGTTGGTCAGTAGATATCAATTATTAAATAACTATAAATGGGTTCACGACTCTGTTATTGTAAGAAATGAAACGAAAATCATGTATGGCGATGATAAATGACAGCGAACTAATCATTCACACTCGGTAATTAAAATGAAAACTATTTTACTTGGGTTATTAAAGTTTTTTAAAATATTTAAAGTTACAAACAATTAAGTGCCTATAAAAATCAATTATTTTACTTAATAACCAATATTATAAATATTGAAATAATCATTACTCACCTATACAATTGTTATTCATAAAAGGCATAAATCGAATTAAACATAATTTAAAAAGAAATAACTTAATTTATTATAAATTTACATTATATGAAAAATATGAAAACACAACCGATAATAGACATTCTTTAACGCTCGACCACTAAACGGCGTTTAGGTGCTGCTGTCACTACTGCTATTGCTGGTTGCAGTTACACCCACAAATAAACAAAACATACCGTATATCATGGATAGTAAACAATTTTCATGGCTAAATCAAGTAGTGCGTATCAGGATATTATCATATATATCCCCATTTATCTGTTATGAAATAATTTTTATGTTCATCCATTATATCTTTTAAGGGTGTCAACTGTTTTTTTTTTAATGGTAACACATATATTTAACTAACTTATAAAATAAAAAAATGATGTAATCAAGAAAATGACTGGTCTATAACGACTAATTATTTCGAATGCTATGAATATTTTTATATTTTGGTGGGAGCAGTGAGGTCAAGAAATGTCTAGTGATAAAAATAGTAGCACCTACTCATCATCTCCTGTCTTTACTTTAATTTATTAATAATTTCTGAAATAATATCTGAAAGTTGTAATAGATCAGTCATTTTTTAATTACATCATTTTCTATTTTATAAGCTAGTTATTACCATTAAATGTGCACAATGGACCATGAGTGCATGGCATTATAATAATAAGAATAATAAATAATAACTATTACTATTAAAACAATTAATTTTACATAATGGTGTTATCATTATTATTATTAATGTCATAAGAAATAAACATTCTAATATTTAATAAGGCGGGAGCGTCTTTTAGGGGAAGGGCAACTTGAGTATATTTCTTAGTCTAAATTATCAGTACATATTGGGGCTCCACAGTGTCTATAACACTATTTTAGTAGGACAAAATTAGTCAAAAAATTAAAAAAATTTTACTTTTCATTAGAAAAAAGGTATCGTTGGGTTTGTTCAGTTGATCGATAATACTTTAAAAAGTTTTTATTCTATATTTATCATAATAAATAAGTTTTCATCATAATAATTTTTAATTTCTCTAACTAAAAAATAACTCAGATAAAAACATTGTATTTTTATTTGAATAAATTTTGGTATTCTATAATAGTAAATAATATTGTTTAATTATATAAAGGGTGGTCGATTGAGTATAAAACGCTCATTTTCTTGGAAATTATTTAAATTTTTAATGTTTGTGAAGAAAAAATGGTTTGATATATAAATATTTATAATAATACGAAGTTAAATAATATTTTTCGTCTCTTTAAGGCTAAAAAACGTTAGCACAGTGGGGTCGTGGTACAGTATGGACATGACATAGTTGAAACAAGTATAGATGATATTTGACAGTGATTAATATCACTATCATAAGAAACGCTTCGATGCAAATCTGTAAATAGTGTTTTAATTTAAGAAATAGGAGGATTATTCCAAAAGTAAAATTAACTCTTATTTGCTTCATTATTTTTAATAGCAGTTCTATAATTTATAAGTATAATATATTGTTATAATTCAAATAACAAAAATTAATAAAATAAAAAAAAAAAGTAAATTATAAGATGGGGTTTTGGGTTTTTGTGTATAGAGTGAGAACCTGATGTTGTGGTTCTATCGGGGTCGTATGGTTCGAGGGTTTAGAACGACAAAGACAAGTAGATATAAAAATATATGTTAAGTTCCTCTTATAGAGGTATAATAAACTTTTGTCTGGTTAGTTTCTAATGACCAAACTAAGAGGCAACGAAACGGCGAAGCTAGTTCACGAATACCTCGGCAACTAGACGGCAGAGCCAGTCCACGAATACCAGAGTCTAATTTATGCAGTAAAAATCACGCTAGGTTTTTTAAAACATCTTTAAGGCAACAAAACGGCAGAGCCAGTTCACGAATATCATATAACGTGATTATATATAATTTCTTTAACCAACCAGTCAAAATTGACTCTTTAAGATATTAATTTAATAAATGATCTATTGCTTTGTCATCCTTTACTCAAATTTATTTACTCCAAATAATTGGGATAACATAAAATTACTTACTTCTTTTATTCTTGCAAATTGCTTGTAAAATGATTTGATAATTATCTCGATATGTTTATATATGTTTAAAAGTATTTAATTCGCACTTCTTCAAAAGATAAATAATTAAAACAAGTTCTTTTCATATATAAATAAAACGCGTAAAAATCAGCCGACAACAACACAGGGCTGTGACTGATAATTGTTTCTTTTTATTCTTATTTCAATTCGGAGAAAACGAACTCTCTCGCTCGCTGTCACTCCTAGGAGTCTCTCTGGAGTCTTCACTCCTCCTTTTGGAGTCTCTCCCTGACTGAAGTCTGAAAGGATTTCAGTGCTTTTTATAGTAAAATGATAGTACCCCCAATCCAGAGATATTGTTGTCAGCGCTTTTAGTGACCTTTTTAGTTTATTGTATTTATTATACATTACATGATAATTATATTGAGATAACATATTTAACAATTAATAAATTGACATACATAAATAAATAATAAGAAATTGTTTTGACACATCGTATTTGTTATGACAGATAAATTATTTGTTTGTTTACAAGTTATTTAAAATACAGATTATATATTTTTCATTAATAATTGTAAGATGCGTAATGCAATACTAATTATAGTAATTAAATTTAGTATGAAATTAATATTTAATAATTTAGTATTATAATTTTTACGGAGAAATTATAAAAAAATGATAAAGTAGTTGTTATTTTTTAGGCAAACACGTATAAAAATTGAAAGGCTTCATACAAAACTTTTCAATTATTATTAATTGTCTACAAAGAATTTTCATCAAGGTTCAAAATATACTTTTCTAAACCATTTTTCGCGTTGATTTCAAATCTGTAATTAGATTTTTTCCATCATCACTAATTGTTGATATTATTAATAATTAGTTAAAAACAAGTATTAATATATAAAATAATATTAACATGAATAAGAAATTTCTTTTCACGAGGGGGGACTACAGTGATGGGATCCTTGATATTTATTGAATCTAAATGAGATCAAAATCAAATCAATTGAAAAGAATTAAATAGAAAATGCAAGAAAATCATTATCTCAAACGTGTACGAATCTGGTACCTCATGGTAATAGACACATGTGATCCCAATTCGTCAATCGTTCAATACATTCATCGGTTGAAAAAATAAGTTCAACTTTATATTCTATGTCAATTAAATCTATATAATATTCATGAAAATCAGTGTATTCCCCTTATAAGGTATATTAAAATTAATTACTAAGAATATTAATACAAAAATAGCATACTTTTGAATATAGTAGCTATTTTTATTATGAAGACGATCTTTATCTCGAAATTTTTAATAATAAAGTACATTACATAAGTTTTAATTTAATGTATATTTAAAAGTGTCAGTATTTCCGGAACATTTTCAAAAGTTAAGCTGAAAAAGTTGCCATTTTGAAGCCTTTTGTGGGCTAAAATACAAAACTTAGAATTTTAAAACAAAAATAGCATATTTTTGAAAACGTTAGCTTTTATTAACAAGAAGAAAATCTATGTTTCGAATTTTTTTTTTTATACTGAAGTATATAACATAAGCTTTAATTTAAGATTAAATAAAAGTGTCAACATTTACGGAACATCTTCTAAAATTAAATTGAAAAAGCCTAAATTGTGGGCAAAAATTGATTTTTTGAATCCTCCGTATGTTTAGAGTCAGATATTAAAAAAAATTATATCAAATGAAAAAAAAATATCTAAGGTTACAATATAAAAAAAAATTATTTTAATTCGTTCATTTTTCAAAAAGTTATGGCAGTTTTAAGAAAAAAATTTAAATAATGTTGAAATTTACCGATTTTAAAAATCGTAATTTATTTATGAATATTTATCTCCCATTTACAGAGAGAGAAGGAATTTTTTTCAATTTAGTAGGGCAATGTTTAGAAACGATTTTTGAAGTCGAAAAATAAGGACCACCCTAATATATATATATATATATATAATTATTATTTTAAGCGAAATCAAGTGGTTAATATTAAAAGAATATTCTGTATACAACTTTATTACTTATTAATTTCTCTGTGAAAATTACAATTCAATTTTTATTATTTTTATTAAATATTATATTGTATTTTATTCATATATTACACTTACAAATCATAAAATTTGTAATCAGGATATAAATAAAGAAATAGGAGATCATGTAGCTTTTGGTTTAACCCACCAATTTTTTAAAATTATACAATATCTACAGATTTGCATTAAAGCATTTTTTATGATAGTGATTTAAGTCACTGTCAGATATTATTATACTTGACCCAACTATGACACGTTCCCACTGTGCCGCGATTCCACAGTGCTGGGGTTTTTTTTTGTGCCTTTCGTCACTGCTTTTTCTTTGCTTTCACTTACACAGTTTTTTCAACAATACATCAACGCTAACTAGTATTTTGTTAAAAATATTACGCTAAAAAATCGAAAAAAAGTTTCTCTTTATCAAATAAAAAAGTGTTTCTTTATATAAATAATTAAAATCATTAAAGTCTAATGTTTTTAATGTATTTATTGTCGAATTAGTGTTGATATAATAGTTTTCAACAACAATGATGAATAACTTTACTTTCTTATTTATTCATTTTTTGCTCTATTGTAATACAATTCTATAATAATCCAATTTTTTCTGAAACATTTTACTGTATAAATAATTACTGAAAAAATAATTTTGGGTTTCACCTGAATTTGACAATGGATTTTTAAAATTGTAATCAATTTTATTCAATTGATTCGATTTGTTTAACAACTGATTGATTGTTGTGTTTTAGTTTCGATGCAAAACTAAAAGGTTTTGCGATTGTGTGCGTTCTTTTTTTATGTTTGTACATAAAAATTCTCAAACCTCGCTGGACAAATTTTGATGATCAATACGTCAAAAAACTGGATTTTAAACTAGTTGAAATTACAATCACTAAATATTTGAAAAACCTCTAGATTTTAGAAGTTTAGATAAATATCTCAAAATACGTTCAAAATACTGCAACTTCAAAAAATTGTATTATTTTTACTTAAATTTGTTATAACTTTTTTGTATTAATATTGAAATAAATAATTTCATTAAAAATCATAGTAATCATGAACTCTTGGTGTTTAAATAAATTCTAAAATTGAAA